ATCGTATCATAACTAGCTGATGGATGCTAACTGTATAATATTCGTGAAATAGTATTCTAATGTTTGTTTGCTATTAATATTTTTATTGATTCTATATTTTTCAAATAATGCAATCATTTGAGTTTATAATTAGTCATTTATATTTACGTCGTACATGATCAATAAATAAATGTACACTAACCATTATTGACGATGCTACATAGACCGGTGTCGGACACCGATCGATCTCGGAATCTGAGTCTTGATTTAGTTCTTCTGAAGGCTGACCAGTTGCGCGCCACTGACAGACGGAGCAGTCGATTAAACCTACACACAATATGTTACAAATAAGAATCACATCATTACATCAACAGCCTTCAATAGTCCATTGCTGGACATAGGCCTCTCCTTAGAAAGGAGGTTTTGACCTACCATACCACGCTGGCCAGACGGGTTGGTATAGGGTTTGTATCAAGTTTTCCCTCTTTGCAGTGCTGTTGTCCTACGCTGTTTGCTCCATTAGTCGGCTCTTACGACACCCACGGGATGAATAGGGTGACATTCCGTATTCTTAATCCGTCATCACACGGACTGCGAATAATAATGGCAAAAAGAAATATAAACCCAGAGATGCTCAGTTTGTCATTTTCCGATTTGTATTTTTCAGACTGAAAATATATTTGCACAGAGAACTAATAGTAGGGGAGTCCATGATGCTAAATGGCGATTTACTCGAGCGTCATGAAAGATTAGGTAATAGTATGATTAAAGTTATAGAATGTTTCCACTTTTAGCAGTGGGAAAAGCTTTTACAGGTTTTCAAAAATGTAAGGGGAGGAAATCGAAAGAAAAAAATCTGGCGCTTTAGATATTTTGGTGATATGTTATTTGGATGCCGAAAATGATCCCTTTGAAAGGTCTGACGATTTTAAATTGGCACAAGCTCATAGCGAATTATCGACAATGCAAACGGCAAATTCGAAAAATCGCCGTTTTAAAATACCCGAGCGTGTTAGATTTTATACAGACCATTCAGTTTAATGTGCCTGTCATGCTAACCAAAAATCTGACGATAATTTTGGAGGGTATTTTAAATCTAACGATTGGAAATATTTTTTTGTTTATTTGTTTGATTGATTTTTACAAAATACGACAAATAAAGCCACGAAAAATTATGTAAACATAGAAGATCGTTTGCTTGAAAATAAAAAAAATGTCACGGTCATGTGCTTTTTTTCTAGCTTTGTGACCCTCCCACTGCTCGGCCCTATATGTAGGGCTCATGTATGGTGGAGGTAATTAACTGGGTGTAAGGTATTCCTCCTATCTTAATCTGACACGCTCGCGTAAATCCCGAAATGCCCTAAAGGGATTCTACCCCTACTATAACGTTAGCAAACAAAAGAGGGGGAGCAGCTGCCCTCCCCGTCTACCCTATTTAGTATTATAGTGATTTACAATGTTTATCGTAATGATTCTACTGTATTTAAAATTTGATGTGTTTTAAATGAGCTGAAGTCCATTACGAAACTACAAATAAATATATCGGTACTTACAATCTAAACCATCGATTCATTTCTACTAAACCAAAATCTAAATGTAACTAGATTGTTTTTAACTCATGTTTATTCGCACATGTTACGCTTGTATCTACCTATGTTGTGGTACGGGTAGTATCTGTATTTACGATATGAGTAAGTGGCCAAAATGAGTTACGACCTGGTAAGCATATTTATGTATGTATGTTTTGTGTAGATTCGTACATACGCATCCACAATTGTGACTTGATACTTCCAGAACTTAAGTAGAAATTACTTTCATACGATAGATAAATAGTGAAACAACTTTTATGCGATTCTCATAGATGTTAGAATTCTAAAGGTGTTATGGCTTTGAATGTGAGAACATCATCAATCAGCACTGAATATCCCTTACCTGATTGGTACCGAAAAATGACCCTGAATACATTTTCTTTTTGTTTTTTTCTTTTAAAAAAGGTCTACCAGCAACCGAAATTACTAGTACTCCCGTTAACCCCTCCCGCAAAGCTAAATAGCTTGTGTTAGGAGTGGGGTCACGTCGGTAGTCTACTGGTCAGGATTCGAACCCACGACCTCTTAATAGCAAGTCCAATGCCCTAATTTAAGGTCTCAATGACATAATACGTTTAATAAAGATACTCTTGTATATGCTAGTTCTCTTTAAGTTATTATAACGACATTTGTTGGATCAACACGTCAATTGTTTGATCATTGATGTAATTTACTTATTTTAACGTAACAAAACGATATAGGCGCCTCTAATGTACCTAACTATATTACTACCTAGATGCTTATTAAATATTGATCTAGTCAAAAGATACATTTAGTATTTCATTTTATTTTTACAACTTCATGCACAAATACAGGCTTCGGCGGACTTTAATGCCTAAAGCATTATCTACCAGTCGACCGATTCGGCGAAGCAGAGAAATGATGAGGTAGGTGCACTTATAAGAAGGTTGTAGAAGTTGTAGATCTTAAGATAGACAATACGCATATACACAGTAATAAATATATATTTTTACCTATTTTATAGCAGGCTTTTTACCTATATTATAGCAAAATACGATAATTTTAGACATTTAAATTGATTTAAACAGCAATACATTAAGGTAGTGGGTGTTTCAAGAACTGAATATAAATAACTAAAAATGGATGGAGGAATATAAATAACTAAAAATAAAAGAGGATGTACTCTTACTATGTGATATGGGGTTTTGTGTAAAAAAATAATCTATACGGTTTGACTTTGTATAGGTAGGTCCAGATTGTACTGTTGCGATCTTTCAAAAATTCAGATCACAAATCAATTTAATGGGTTAAGATTCATTTATAGTACCTAGTTGATATAATGTTAACGCCTTTTACAACATCGCAATAGTTACTGTTGAGTAAGGTATGCAAAGACCGTCATTATCTTTTATTATAAGCTGTGTAAATGTAAATAAAATTATTAATAAAAGTTCATATCAAAAAAGCTAGTTAGTAGTTAGGTAGCTCGAAGTTCCTTTTGCTTTTTGGTAGACGTTCGCTATGGAGTCGGTAAAAAGTCTTGTTACACATTTTTCGGTGTCGCTCCCATCCGCTCAGAACGTGTACCTAACGCGCGATAAGGAACTATGTTCCAAAACTACACTCTACAATCAAAATTCTATAATACCTACACTTCTACAATCCGAAGTTACAATTTTATAATACTACGCTACAATTGGTGATATGTATGAGTGGATAGGGTTGTGGAACCTACTCTCAATTAGCATGTTTTTTTACTTTGAATCCGTAATTTCTAGGGAAGTGGGACTTAAAGGGCTGCAACAAACTGTTACTCTTGAATCGTAGGTGACCATGGGCGGTGGTGGTCACCTACAATCAGGTAACCTGTCTGTTCGTTTGCCCCATAGATTTAAAAGAATCTGATATCAAATTTGTTAGTTATCGATCTTTTATTCAATCAATAATGCACTTTATTTCAGTTTCAGAGATATGTGTTAGCAGTTAGGAATAGGTTTAGTGTTAGCCAATTTACACCTTTCTTGCAACCACCGATCATTGAGCTAAAGATGAAAAAAACTTACCTCTTTAGTGGATTATCAGAACTCTCTGATGACGAGCTTGAACTTGATGTATCACAACTGCTTGAATTCATTCGATACACTTGACAACTTGCACTCTTTTGTATAGTCATATTTATAGTTTGTCGTGACTTTATATTTATATGATTATGCATCGTATATAACCCTTGTCTTGCGAAACGTTCACTTTAAAATCTGTTTGAACACTAAATGTGTTGACTATCATTAGAGAATTTTGTCATTCACATTCTAAATTTAAACAAGAGATGTAGACCGGTGGCGCTCACGCCGACCGAATAGCTCTGAGAAACGAATTGACTCACAAGTAATTAGATCAGTTGAAACCGCTCAAATTATGTTTACAGCCCATCCTAAATTTGTGCTCAAACATTTCATTTGTAATACTCGTAAATCAATTCTACATGAATCAACGTTATTTTGGAATGCGCTGTTGTGCCAAATAAAAACTTTTTTTGGTTTATTTGATTGGTCAGTATAACTGAACAGACAATATTATCATCATGACAAAGACGTCAAAGACGTCCACTGCTGGACATAGGCCTCCCGCAAGGCTCTCAACAACAATCGGCCCTGTGCTGCCCGCATCCAACGGCTTTCCGCGACCCTCACCAGGTCGGACCACCTTGTTGGGGGCCTGCCTACGCTCCGTCTTCTATATCGGTACGTGGCCAAGATATAGACAATATATTTGAAGAATTTTTGAAATCGGTTTAGTGGTTTAGGCGAGAGAGGAACAAAAAACAAACAAACTCACTTTCACATTTATAATATAAGTACAGATAGATATTTGGCAAACTAACTTCATTAAAATCCTAAAAATTTTGAAACGGTTGACTTTGGTTAAAAGTATAATATTATGAAGATAGTGTATCGCAAACTTACGAATACCGGTGTCAAAAATTGATCATTAACAGACTACGTTTTTATATATATTTATGCAATATTAGCTATTATATAATTTTAAAACAGTCTGATAAATAAGTTTCAGTAGTTGAAGAAAACAAACATTTTTATTATTTTTTAGTTTATTTTAAAATTAACATAAAACCGTCACAGTACAATCAAAATGAAAGGCGGCTTATTTAAACCGGCCTTCAAATTTGAACAAAATAATTAAAATAACTACATGATACCTTACAAAGAAATCGACATCAAAATGGCTATTCGTCATTAAATGTCCCGTAGAATACAATCCACATATTTTATTTATTGAATTTTACAATTCAGAGAAGACATCATTTGGCAATCAACTCGGTGACACATGCAAAACACACTTCGTTGGGAACAAGTAAATACATTCTAAGGTAATAAATTCTGTGTAGTTAACATGAACTACGTGGAAATGTTTAGCCTAGCTACATAATCTTAGTTTAGTCTAATAGTGCTCTCAGTAGTACGGCCGCCGTGGGTTATTCTGTAAAAAAGAAAACGTAATTAATAAAGTGTATATTTATATCATCACTGAGAGAGCTGAGAGAGTTAGGGGGCCTTTCGAGTTCGGGGGACAGTTCTATGACCCTGACTCTCTCCTCTCCGCTCTCTTCTCCTCTGCACTCCTAATTCATTCGTGTCTGACTATCGCTTTCAAATATATTTTTTCTCACATCCGGTTCTGTGAATCGCAACAAATTGTAGTTGGCTAAATCATCATCATCAGTCGCTAACAGTCCACTGCTGGACATAGGCCTCTCCTTAGAGAGGAGATTTTGGCCTACTGTACCACGTTGGCCGAATGTGGATGTTTAATCCTTTTCTGGCTACCCCATCGAGATTAAGAGTATGAGCGTATACCCAATTTAATTCCCAAAGTGCCCGGTTGTTGGCTTGTTCCCTGTTACGTGAGTGGCACCAAATTTTACTTGGCAAAATCTTGTGTAATACGCTTCTGCCTATCTGGTAAGGGTATGAGTGTATGCAAGACCTTTCTAAGTTACTTCGGCCATGACCTTAACCCCATTACTCCAATCATTGCACTTAACGGTAGTGCAATCCAAATCTATTAAGTGTAAAACAACCACCGGAAACTTTAAAACAATAGGTCAAATTTCTAAAGAACAATACTGGATACCAAATAATTAGCCAGTCAAGCAGAACACTCGTTTTAGGGGACACATTTGATGGTTATTTCGTTTCGATAGTTATATTAACTTGTTCGAATATAGGGACACGAGGCATAACACGTTTCTTGTCGTGGCCGTATGAATATATTTCATTTGTAAGAGGGAACTCAACACGTATTCGAATAAACGAGATATAACTACATATTTATATTTATTTTAATAGCCTTATAAGTTCATTGTCATCAGTTTGGCACGAGACTGAACTATCGTAAATCAGTCATTTACACTTGTAAAATTGAAGAATCGGATTTACATTTTCTGTAATATCACAATTACGTTGGCTACAGGTTGTTTCACCAAGTTTATTTGGTGGCAAAACTCGATGTAGACAATTGACTTTGTAATAAATATTGTTTTACAAAACTCATAAATTTTTAAAAATAACTTTTAGTATTGTAAACGAGTTTGGCCCATCGTTAGTACGTTTTTCGAAAAATCTAACACTTACTGATTTTATTTTTAAATTAGTATTTAATTTACTCTGCTTGATTATTTATATTAAGTTCTGTAAACTTTAGTAATATACGTTGTTAACTATACTATAGACTGAGAGGTTCATTGGCTTAGGCTATCTTCATTCTTTATATTCTTCATCTTATGTTGATAAAATTTTAAGTTGGTTCGTGTATGCTTTAAAAACTCATAAATTTCTGCAACGATTGAGTTCAAAAGGGGAATGCCCATTTTCGGCCATAAAACGCCCAACAATTTGCTTTTGTTAGAAAAAACCATCTTATTTTCTATTTATTAATTGGGGTATTCATTTATCCTCACAGGTCTGCAATATTTAAACAGAAAATAAAAGTACCGAAAAGATAAAAGTGAAATTACGTTTATCCGTATTTCATTGGTTTCTGATATAATATTAAGTGTTCCCAATTACTAATTTTACTATTTTTTGGACTGACATTAATATTTATTTTAATATTAATTGAAACTAATTGCACAAAACATCTTATAAATTCTACTTTTAAAACAAACAAAATAAATAAGCAAAATGGCTGTTTGTGTCAGCGCTACTGAAGTTAGCAAACGTGTCCTGGCCGAAAACTGTGTCAGCGCTAGTAAGCGCTCATAAGCGCTTCCTAGCGTTATTTTCTGCCAAACACAGCCATTATTTTATAGCTATATTATTCGATTTTCGGTAATTATTATGATTTCATTATATTAGTGCTAATATTATTTATTTATTTATTTTAATAGAGCTAGGGCAGACTTTAGAAATATAAACGTAGGCTCCGAAAATGTTAGGGAATTTCCTATTTTAACTTACAGCGACCTAGTACTAATTGCTTGTGGTATATACCAATTAAAGCAAGCTCGCTCCTATTATGGTGAGCATATAAGAGCTAATGGTTGCTACCACATAGAAATATGTATTGACCATAGGAGCAGTATTATGGAAGGAATACACCTTAGTCCTAACTGCTCTTTACCTAGGGCTAGAATCGCACATCAGTCGAAAAATATATTTTAAATATATTTTAATTAGTGGCAATGATTCTGGCAGAAGTGCAATTAAAAAGTATTGTTGTAACTGTATTGTTGGCCGTCGAACGGTAGGATGTTGTGCCCATATAAAGACAGTAATATGGTATTTGGGTTGGGCACGACATCAAACAAATATTTTTCCTCCGGCTCAATTCCTGGATGATGTGCTAATTGTGTATGACACAAATGATGTATGATCATAAAATACCTAACAACTACATATAACTTGATATTGTATGTGAGAATAACAATAAAATGATGAATAAGAAAGAAAACTGTAGTTATTTCTGAAAATTAAAATCATTTTATATCTTAAAAATCCCGACTTTTTTTAATACCAATTCCTTAATCATTTCATTCTTTAAATTGTATATTATCGTTTCCATATGCTTTTATATGTGTGCACCTAGGGCCAAAGTGTCTATGGGTAGTGGGCATTCCCCTTTGTCACAAACTGCTTCAGATATTGGTTTTATCTATTTTTCACGTCAATTTTGTTCTTAATTACTCATCAATGCAACCACAATGTGCCACAGCGAAATGTTGCAGAGTACAAATAGTTGCACGTAACAGTACACCATTTATATAGAAGATGACTCATATTGACATACGCTATAGATTTGTTAGATAACAAATCAATTTCACTTTTTTTAATTTATATAACGGGTGTTATGATACATATCACAAAAAATGAAATAACAGATAACACGGTTCAATGTACGTCGGTTAAAATCAAAAATAAAAAAATTAGTACGAAAATACAGAAATGCAAATTTAGAACTAAATACTATAAAATAATTGCCGAATTAGAACATCGGCTACATCAAAGCGACGCCGATTTTGATAGAGTTTACCATAAATTAACATGATGGCAGGATATTCCGCGGCTGTGAAGGTCACACGGCATTATGGATGTTGATACCCCAATAAAATTAAAAGACAGATAATTCACTCAGTTTCACACTACACTACACACAGAACCTAATATTGACACTTTTCAAAATAAAATAAGCAGGACTCGTTACATTACGAAGTCTTGCTCACACGATAACATTAATTGTTCACACCGATGCCGTGTATTATGACGAAAGCAATAAGACTAAACAATTATTAACACAAGAAAACTTTTCTAAACAAATATGTATCTCATGGACAACAACAATATTATTATTACGGTTATTTGTCGTGAGAGCATCTACAGGATACAGAATAGCATAACACTCGCCGGTATCCAAGGGCCGACTGACTGTCTTTACTGGATGAACTAATTAAAAACGAGTGTCCTTCATCGTGATTACGCAACAATGAACATATTTCGTTCGATTCGAGTGTAGTGAAAGCGGCCACGTGTGATTACCGCGCCGCGTATACAGCTGATCGCCGCCTGAGGTCAATGTATTATGACTGCATGTACACATGATGTTGCAAATTACGAAAACAAAAAAAATGTCCTGTTTCTAAACCACTGAATATTTTTTGTTCATATTTTGCAAATCGTCTAGAAATAAAGTGCAGAATGTTGTTCACAGCTTCGTGAAAACATAAGTGACACACTGTATATTATTAAATGAGGGGATGATTTACGCGCTACGTAATACGATAGTTAATAATTTGTCACCTCATTCTTGATTAAGTTTGTGTATTATAATTGTTCTTTTCTGTTAAACATAATTGCTCTTTATTTAACTAAATACTTTATCCTCATCAACAGCCTTTAAAAGTTCACTGCTGGACATAGGCCTCTCCTTAGAAAGTAGGTTTCGGCCTACTGTACCACATCGGCCAAACGGGCCCTATTCATCATGTGGGTGTTGAAGGGCCGACCAAGGGAGCAAACTTACTACTTAGCTACTACTAAATAAAATTTTGTATATTTATTTGGTTTCAATGACAATACTATAATTTGATATTTTGGAGCTGATCTGATAATGGAGCCCTGAGATGGATAAGTCGAGAGTGGAACTCTACAGTAGTGTATTCACCACTAAAAAACCTCACGATTTTTCTTCCTTTTTATCTGCAATCTACTTAGTCATAATCAGATGTTTTGGCTTTTTATTGTTATTTACAAAGGTATTTCCATAAATTCTCTTCCTCCGCCTTCGCACAATGGTGTCTGGCTTCTAGGCTTCTAGCATCTTTGGTCAAACTCTAGTACTAGCCATCTTCTCAATCTTATAGTGTCATTGTTGGTGTGAATTAGATCCCTAGCAAATTGGTTTGTGATTTTGCAGTCTCTCCTTGTATTTAGTACCATATCTGTTTACCTCCTCCTTGACTGCAAGCGTTGCCAAGTATTCATGAATCTCCAAATTTCTAGCAAACTATGGTGAATTTGAGGTTGCCCTCAGTGCTCTGTTCTGAAACCTCTGCAGGATTTCAAGATTGGAGTTACAAGATGATCCCCAGAGTTGGATTCCATATGTTGGTTTTATTATGCATTTTTAGACAATCATCTTGTTGTTTAAAGAAAGTAGTGATAGTCTCCCAATCAGCTAGTACTCTCTTAAATTGTACATCCGTATCTTTCCTTTTTGTTATTATGCGATGAGCGCATGTTAATCTTTAGTCTTCAACCCAAATGTAATCCCAGGTGTCTTACACACTTCTCTGTGGGCAGTGGCTGACCTCGCAGCGTAACGGCTGGACAGTCTCATTTGCGGAGCGCGAACATCATTTGTACGAATTTAGTGACATTCGGCTGGTCACTGCTAAGATAAGCATTTACCTCCTGTTCAAAATCTCTCATCGTAGAAGTATTTGGTAAAAAGACTTGACTCAGGTGTTGAGCAAAGAGATCTGCTTTCTCTTTAGGGCTTTTGGCCCATGCTCCTGACTGTACTCTCAGTGATGGTACTGCTTGTTGAGGTCTCTTGAACTGTTTTGTGAGTTTCCTTAGCAAATAATCATCACACTTTTTTTGCAGATAGAGATGACAGTATTTGTTGAATGAATTCCCATTCCCTGCTATCATTTCCCTCAGTTCTATAGCTACTTCCTCATAGTTTTTTTATCATCCGTGTGTCTGCAAGCCCAACAGATACAGCCTGATGCTAAACCCAGATGGAGAATGGCGGAACTCTGGTGTACTTTCTGTCGGTTTGCGATTAAAGCGTGTTTATTAGGGTAATGTTATACCAAAAGATTTGGGGGACTGTAACCGTATCTCTTAAACACAGGCAACTTAGTTGCCTATCTAGAAGAACAGCAAACACTCCAAATAATTATGGCCTAAGTCATATACCTAACTATTATTGTAACCTATGTAATGTTGTAAACCCATACTCTTACTAAATTATAATACAAACATTACAATATTTGTAGGTACTTACCAAAGGATTTGGTCTAAAGCGGTAGGCGAGCATCATGCGCTTGCGATAAGCATCGAACTCGTCATCTTCCGGAGACACCACGTCCGATGTGTTTGCGCCAAGCCCTAGGTTCGCCACTGGTTGGTTGGCTCTGCAGCACAACAAACATCCTTACAGATCCCTATACTATTAACATGTCATCGTGTGTCGTTTCCTATGTCAGTAACAAATGTTATTGTGATTATGATTGGAAAAAATTATATGTCATTCAATAAATAATGTTGATTCGTGTATTTTATTGAAAATAAAGAAGTGTCCGTATAATTGTCATTTAACTTTTAATCATCATTTCATAAAAAAGTGGTACCTATGAGGTTCTTCTTTTAAAAAATGTGCTACATTCAATGTTCGACTTTCAATTGTTTTTTTTTTCAGCTTAAACATAAAAGAGTTCTGACGCGGAACTAATGCGGCAGAAACGGCTCGCAATATGAACGCTGCAATTGGAGAGTAGACTGCTAATGAACGCACAGTGCGTTTTTGGTTTAAACGCTTTCTTAATGGAAACTTCGATTTGAAGAACGAACCACGTGGAAAACACAGGTGAATAACGCTGAATTAAAGATGGTGGAAGCCGATCCGAGTCAAACTACCCAGGAATTAGTGGCATGGTTTAACGTTACCCTACCTACAATATTGCCTCATTTGCATCAAATCAATAAGATAAAAAAAATTAAAAATAGGTGCCTCATGATTTGACTGATCTGCAGAAAGAAATGCGTGTTGAAACTTGTGCCTTGAAATATGTACAGAAATGGAGGAATATTGGATCGAATTGTAACATGTGACGTAAAGTGGATTGTTTACAATAACCATAAGTCAAAAATGGCTGACCCCAGGTCAAACGCTGCAACAGTGCCCTAAAGCAAAGCTTACCAATAAAAATGTAATGGTAACTGTTTGGTGATCTCTTCAAGGTGCTATTTACTATAGCTTTCTATGGTCTGGTCAGGCAATAACAGCAGATGCTTACTGTGGCGGACTTCGAACACTGATGGCGAAACTGGCAGTGAAAGAGCTCCGACTCGTGAATCGATTATTACTCCATGATAACGCAAGACCCTCACACTGCACGAGAAACCGTTGTAACTCTACAAGAGCTGCAGTTAGAAACCATACGGCATCCTCCGTACTCGCCAGACCTTGCTCCAACGGACTACCATTTTTTTCGTGATTTGGACAATTTTCTACGTGATAAACGAGTTTTAATTTTTCAGTACAAATCGGCAATTTTATACTTAAACCCCTAATAAAACACACTATACACAATAAAACACACAGAACTACGGAGTAACTACTAATCCTGCGTTGCGCAATGAAAGTTCTCGGCACCATTTACTTTACCTATGAAGTTGGAGATTTTTAGAACCAGCATTTTCAAATTTAATTATCTGTGGATTGGCGCGCAATTCAAAATTCTAATAAATTTTATTCCAAAGCCTGCTATTTTAATTTAAAATTCAGTCATTTTTTAGATAGTGTTTTATTTTTTGATGAATTGTTATAGTTTTTGGCGCCGTAGATAAACTTAAATTTCGTACAATTACCAATTAATATTCGTGAAAGCGCAAACAACACGAAACATTAACAACGTGTAAGTAGGAACACACGAACTTTTCTTTTTCTTTTCTTATCTTATTTCTTTTTTTTAGTAAGCGACCATCAGCAAGCACTACTGAATCGGTATAGAAACGAGGAATTCTGAACCGGATTGTTCCCTGCAATGAAAATTGGATCCAGTAGTGGGCCTGGGTACAGCTCCTAATTAGTGCGTTAAAAATAAGATTACCCATAGGAACATGATAGTGACTTTCTGGTGGACCGGACTTGTATATCACACCTTCTAACCGAATGGCACAACAGTGACGGAAGATGACTATTTCCAAGAATTGCAAACTAAGATGGAAATGGCTCAAAATTCAACAACCACGTCTGGTCATTCGCTCTGCCCTCTGCTTTTCTACGACAACGCGCGAGTTTACACTTTACGACAGACCATCGCAAAGCTAAAAGAGTTACAGCTGGAAGCTCTCCGTCACCCACCTTACTCACCGGACCTTGTCCCGTTAGATTTCTACTTTTACAAAATTTAGTCAATTTTTAAGTGGGAAAAAATTCAACACCTGAGAGGTAGCACACAAACGCCAAGCACAAGACTTCATCGCCTCCCGTCCAGCAACTTCCACAGTAAACTAACTGACATCAAAATGGTATAGATAATTTAGGCCAGTACTTTGATTAGCTTAAATAAAAAAATAACCAATATTTTTATATTTTAAAATTTTCATACAAATCTCCAACATCGTAGGTAAAAGGACCTAATATATACATCTAACGAACAGCAACCATTAGGCCGCCAGGCATGATCACCTCGCCTGCTAGAGAATCTTCCCTTTGTCTTGTACAGACATGACATTTGTTCCTCCACAACATAATAAGAATATTATATAGCGTTGTTTTTCCATGCGACATGTTCAGTATACTGTAAGTAAAAAAATTACAACACTATTATTACATACTTGTTGATAGGCTCCACTATTCCTGAGCCTTCTGCGCCGAGGCCCTGCCCTTCGCTCCAACCTAGTTTCTGAAGCATCTTGAAACCTAAAACAAATGTACATACTTATAGTTAAGAATAATGTTCTTGCTACATTTTTTTTACTTCATAATGTAGCTAAATTATAACAGTTTAATATTAATACTTAATAAATAATATGTAAGTATTGTGTAAAGAACAAATAAAGTCATAATAAAATTAAAACAGATGTGGTGTAGGTTGAAAACGTGTATGGCTTGGTAACAACACGGTCCAACTGATAATGGTCCCAAAATCAGTAAAAGTAATCAGCATTAACTGCAAAAATTATTGCTAACTTGAATATTATATTTAACAAGTCTCATCTTACGTCTCATAAGAGTTTTCAAATGACCAACTACTGATTAGTTGCCAATTTGCACTTTGCCCTCATTAACCACGAATTGGCATACAACAAAAACGACGACATTTAAAAGTTACGCTTATAGGTGAGTAAAAAACGAGGGCCAATGCCAAAAATTATTCATTGTAATATTTAAGCGCACATACCGACATTGTCCTCCTTCAGTTTGAATTCTTTATAATCGCTCAAGTCTGGCTCTTTGCCACTTTTCACCGCCGAATACTTCTCCATAAATCTGAAATATATCATGTGTAAACTTTCATATTTAAAAGAAACAATAGACAATACAAGTGTACTTTAAAGCACGAGGTATCAGGACGAGTCTTACATCTTTTATAATGTGTCTTAAGTAGAGGTATGTATCTATGGTCCATTTGCATTAAGAAAATAGTGGAACATTGATCAAGCCCTACCACCTGACTATTCAGGTTCCAAGAAATTTCGATTTCCAAGATTGATCGATATATACACATAATCACACATTTAGCATACAAAGTTTTTAAATTGAGTTTTACTCTTGGTGAAGTATGCAAATGTGTTTTGTAAACTTGTTTCATTCTTCATAAATCTGATGCTTAATATATTTGTAAAAGATCTAACACTCGTTCTCAAGGGAAGTATTTTTATCTAAATAACTAAATATTAAGATCGTACTCACTTTTTAAGTTCTTCAGGTGGTAAGAAATCTCCAATGTGATGTTTACCAGCTGCCTGTTTGGTCAATTCGGTCGCCCACTTCTCAGTTGCGTTCATTTCCTTAGCTCGTAACCTAATTTAAAATAATATAGAAAATAAATGAAATGTAATATGTATTAAATACAATGAATTAATGTTTTATATCAGTTGCCATATAGATGATTGAAGGGTCTGCTTACTGATAAAGCTGCAAAAGTAGCTTCAAAAGGTCAGAGAGATCCTTGTGTTGATTATCTAACATAATAGTTCAGTTCTCTATCCATCAACAGATTTTATAGAAAAAATAATTTCCTGGACCATCGAAATATATAATAATAATTTATTGTTTCCTTCTCTCTGCAGGAAAAAGAAGGAAAACACAAACTTGACACAAACCCTTTTTTTTGTTTTTTAACGTGTGGAAATCCCCTCGGACCGTCACCCCACCGGGGTTTGCGGCGGGGTGGTGTGTCGGACTCGGACCGACTAAAACCACACGGTGTGCCACTCTGCGCCTGTAATAGGAGGGATCCGGGAACAGCTGTTATTAAGACATCCGGACCCCTCCTAGCGCCAGCCCGCTCCTGTTGCGGGCTCCGTCTCAAAATTTTCCTCTCTTTAGGCGACGTCCGGCACACGCGGACTCCGCCCCCTCGCGGCTGGCCAAACTAATGCGGGTGGAGGGGAAACCCACCCCGTCCACCCGCGGCCATACTCAGGGCGGCATGAGGCGGTGATAAGTGCGCCTCCGCCGCCCGGTTCGCCGGCGGCGGATCGGGTCCGAGTGGAGGTCGTCCTCCGCCGCCTCCTTCTGCGAGATTACTTCCTCGCAGAAGGTTGCGACCGCGGTAAAACAACTGTCGCTACCGGCCATGGAGCGTACTACGGCTGGTAGCGAGAGATCCACTACGATGACTGCAGTGAGGGCCCGGCGCTGCGTCGCCCATGCGGGGCAGACCGCCAGCGAGTGTTGGGCCGAGTCCTCACTGCAGTCGCAGTGGTAGCAGGCGGGACTCAGTTACCTCCTAGCGACCGAGTACAGTTACTTTCCGAAGCAACCGTGCCCGGAAAGCACCTGCGTCAGCCGGAAGGTAAGGGTCCCGTGCTGCCGCCCTGCCCACTCGGCGATGACCGGCTGGAGAGCCTCCACGGCGGCGAAGTCAGCGCGTGAAGTCTCCAGCCGGAACGACCCTCCTGTCCCTTGTCACACAATGTCACATTCCGGTGATACCCTCCTCCCCTTTAACGTGTGTAAATGCAACAGGTTTTGGCCTACTATACCCCACGCTAGCAGGACGGGTTGGAATAGGGTTTGTGTCAAGTTTTCCTCCTCTCTGCAGTGCTGTTGTCCTGGGTAGTTTGCTCCCTTAGTCGGCTCTTACAACACCCACAGGATGAATAGGGGTAGTGACATTCCGTATTCTTAATCCGTCACGTCGGGGTTCTAAAAATTTGACAGCCCGTGACAAGGACTATAAAGTCCAAAAGTTCGTGTAACGTAAGTAAATGATGACCCCTAAGGTTTATTTCTGGTATCTGACTGTTGTGTAGTCACCATTGTCAACAACAAAAATATAAACAGAAAAGCCCGTCTAATAGCATCAGTTTGCATGTGTGACAGAAATATAATGAAAATATGTAATATATTAATGAATAAAGCTTCTCGCTTTGCGATGTACGCTTTTAGCGGGAAGCACTGTTTTTAGCTGCAGCGGCCTGTTTGCAACAAGACAGACCCCCACAATACCTCTTTTGTCTCAATCTGAAAAGTATATGAGTTTTAAATCACTAGGATCAATTGATCCTAGTAAATTTCACCACTTTTTTTCACAGCTTTCATTTAACAGATTGAAATCATAACGTTTTTTTTTAAGCTCTGTGGCGGTCCATGTTTTAGTACATCATCATCATCAGCCTCATCCTCCCCTATTGCCCGGCACTCACTGTATTTACTGTATTAGGTCATTGTCCTCTAAAGTATGACTTACTTATGTTCCCAGGTGCCTTCTGAAGTATCTTCATCGCTGTCATACTCATATTTGTACTTGCCAGCTGCTGCCAAACGTTCCACTTCCTGTCTCTTCTTTAACATGTCCTGGGCGAATACACAAAAATATATCCATACTTATACGAGTAAATGTGAAAGTGTGTTTGTTTGTTACCCTTCACGCCTAAACCACTAGGTCGATATTTAAAATTCTTTGACCAATGCAAACATAGGCTACTTTTTACCGCGATAACCGACATACACGCGGGCGGAGCCACGCCAAAAGCTAGTAACACATATATTAATCTTATTATCTTCTATTAAACAGTAATTTGAAAAAAAAAATAGAGGGATAAAGTCGAAATTAGTCTATAAAAAATGTTAAACCTGATATAGTAGATTCAGCTTAAAGTTGTCTTCACACTTTTTCCAATCTTCGCCGCTCAGGTTAGTGGTGCCGTAGTTAGTCATTGCGTACTGCATTAATGCCTGGTTGCTGCGATGCAAGGCACTCAGTCTTAAACCTTCTTCATCAATCTTCGCCAGGCCTAACAAATTGAGAAATTAGAACTTACCAGAAAACTTAAAAGCAGCAAACACGGTGCACTGCACTTACCATATTGATGCCCCGTAAATACATTATCATAACCGTCTGGTACGTTCTTTCTATTCTGACGGGCTTATGGTCTAGTGGTTAGTAACCCTAACTGCTCAGCCGGAGGTAGAGGGTTCGGTGTCTACCCAGGACAAATATCGGTGTGATTAGCATCATCACCATGACAGCCGTGTGTGAAGTTATTATTAATATTATTGTTATTATAATATCTATCTTATAATAAGAAAAGTACGTGTATTAGTGAAAGTAATTATATCATCTCTCATTTATGTATGAATATTGCACATGCATATTTTTTCATACTTGAAAATTATCTAGATATACGAGTATATTTCTGTTTTAAGATAACCCTCTCCAGTTTGTTTCCACTAGTTAAGATATAACAATGAAAAGTAATCAGTATAATAATATGTGGATTTTGTCATTTATCTCCACATCTTCTAGATATCACTGACGCACGTCTCTCTTAAATAATAGGATTAATATCAGAGATTATTATGATGTCGCCTGCTGTATGTCATTGTAAGTATAAACAACACACCTGCTACGACTGTATTAAATACAATTAACAACATAGAGAATAAAACAACAATTCGTTACAATCGTCACTCGTAATTAGTGTGACCAATGCAGCTTCACAGTTTGACGAGTATTAATTTTAATAGTAACTTATTTCTTGAAATATGGAATAAAAAAAATTAGTATTACTATTTAAATATTCACTCGTCAGAAGGAATGTGGTAGCATGCTTTGTATTTCGTTAAGTCCTGTTATCTAAATATATATTTTATAAGTTATATTTTTTCTGCTGATAAAAAATAATCATCTGCATCATCTTTTTTTAAATACCACACACCGAAATACAAATCAAAGTAAGTTAAGATTTTAGGCTATAGATAGTAATATATGCATTCCAATCTGTATTTAGGATATTCATTTCTTTTCATTTGCTGAGACATACCTGGTCCGGTGCCGGGTCCAACAATAGACGGTAAAGGCGCAACTATGCCCGGAGGTTTAATATCTGCCGCAGGTGGATTATCACTCCATCTAGATTTCTTTTTCTTGCGTTTCTCTCTTTTGCTGTCGGATTCTTCATCACTTTGAGAGCTGGCCTGCTCACGTTTGACAGAGTGTTGTGAATGATGATGAGAGTAGCTGGAAAAATAAAGTCGAAGTTTAGTTTGAGATTCAGAATTTGGATTATTGAGTTATACAATGTCAGATGTAGATGATAGATTCCCAAAATGATTTATTTCAATAAATATATGTATTGTTTATATTGATAATTCAGTAAACATTTAAAATTTGTGAAAGGGTATGAATTATCAATAAGTACTGGTTAAAGAAATAATAATATAATTCTCAAATCATAAATAGAATATGACGAAACTAATGTATAATTTTTATATAGTATAATAAATAATAAACCAAAAAAAATAATTGAGTGTATGAATAAAACTAAAAAGCAACAACTAATCTAAATACAAAATGGCAACGAAATCATTGGATTGATAGCATACAATTAAGAAATCATAAAATTTATTAACAACAAGCTTAATAAAACAATATTTTATGTAAAGTGAGGAGGAAGCCATGATGGGTTTACCAGAACTTCTTGTAAAATAGGATCTAAGGAATGGTCCTTCAGGTTGTTAAAATAAAAAATGCTAAATATGAAAGTTATTTATACCTGTCTCTATCATCTTTACAATATGTTTTATCATCATTACTCTCATCATCTTCCAGGCTGAATTCGGGCTCGTATTTATCCTCTGGTTTTACCTCAGGCTTTCTATCCTCTTGTTCACTTCTGTACTTAACAATTAGTTCCCTGAACGCCTTATACTCTTTCGAGTTAGTGTTGTGCAGAAACCTGTAAAAATTTGCTATGTACAATTATATTGTATGGTGCGTAAACCACAACAAAGGATGTTTCGTTTAAGGCTTTATTCATCCCGGAAATAGCCTAATAGAACCGTGGAGTAAACACCTCTAATCAGTTACTGCTACATAAAATTCATATAACATTGGTTTGAGGATTTTTATAATAGTTATATGAATTTTCTACTCTTGATTTAAATTAGTAAATCTAATTCTTGAAATAAGTATAGCAACATTATTCTCAGAAACATAATGGTTGAATAAATCTGTATCATTGTGAAAGATATGTATGGTGCAACTACTATAAATTTACCACACAGTTCTATGAATATAGCGAGATAAGATTAAAAATATAAAAAAGAATACAGCACGTATCCTCCTGTCGGGATCAAAATATTTTTACCACAAGGACTGATCTTGTGTGTGTATTGCTTTCAGCACATTTTCCCAATGGTCACCGTTGCACGCGACTTCGGAGGCGGCGCGGTGGACGGCCGGCGGCAACGAATCTGCGAGAACTACACACCACGAGTCAAAATATGTCTGCTGTCGAACCACGAACACACACCTACCAATTCCCACAGATCAATCCCAATAGATAGATAGATAAATTACAATATTTTGGACTAATCCACTTATGCCAAATTATTGTTTTAATGAATATTTCAAACAACGTTTTATTTTCACAATTCTAAAAGGTATTATTGATGGGTGTAATACTAATAACAGAAACAGACTAATAATAGAAATAGATTTTTAAGATTTGAACATACAAACAATTTTTTTGCAAGTCAGTTACTATTAATTAAATCTATGCTGCAGATAAGTTTGTCTTTGAAGTAAAACATAAATAATAGACAACATGAAATGATCAATGTGCTTGAAACACTAAAAAGTTTACAGCCCTGTGTGGTATTTTATGTGTACCTATTGGGATTGATTTGGGCAATTGTATAACGGATCATTACTGGTACTGAGTTTACATGTAAAAGCTTACTGATATATCGTGTAACCAATTCGTATTCATAACTTATTACTGAAGTAATCATGTTTAAAATTTTGAAACTTGTCTAAAGTGCAATAATGAAATGGTATGCAACATATATTGACTTTATTTGCTAAATAATATTTTGCGTTCTTAAATATCAGAAAGCTCATGTAATAAAGTTGTTAAAATCACCTTTGCGTCATTACTGCAAGGAGCGATAATAATGCAAGGGCAAATGTAATACACACATCGCAGAATCTTTACCTAGATTTGACGATTTGAACGATCCTGACTTGCTATCTTTGTCTTTCTTTGACAACTGATTCATCGGCGATGGTATGTTTCCAGCTTCCTTAGACGTAGATGACTTGTCAAACGATTTTGAGTCCGACATGTGACCAGGCATAGTGTTCGGCGGTAAGGGAGGATGCGGCGGCATAAACGGCATGGGAGGACCATTCCCATTTCCGAAATTCGGTGGACCATTCGGTGGGAATGGAGGACGTGGCCCCATAAAAGGCATGTTGCCATTATTCATAGAATTTGGAGGACCGTTTGGTCCCATCATAGGATTTGGGAACGGAGGACCGAAAAATGGAGGCATAGGACCATTAGGTCCATTAGGACCACACATGTTGGGAGGCATAGGGCCACAAGGTCCATTAGGTCCCATAAAGTTCGGCGGCATTGGGAAATTATGGGGGCCGGGAGGACCACCCATAAAGGGTGGCATTGGACCACCAGGAGGCATTGGTGGCATAGGTCCCCGTGGACCCATTAATGGTCCAGGTCCCATATTATTTCCCATATTAGGTCCCGGGCCCATATTAGGTCCCGGACCCATATTAGGTCCCGGACCCATATTAGGTCCCGGACCCATATTAGGACGGGTTCCTACGTTAGATCCTGGACCCATATTCGATCCGGGTCCCATGTTAGGACAGGGTCCAATACCCGGCCCAGGGCCTATATTAGATCCATGACCCATATTAGGACCAAGACCCATGTTAGGGCCGGGCCCCATTGTAGATGGACCCATATTAGGACCGGGGCCCATATTCGGTCCAGGGCCCATATTCGGACCGGTGCCCATGTTAGGACCTGGACCCATGTTCGGGCCTGGGCCCATATTTTGAACAGGTCCCATATTAGGCGCAGGGCCCATATTTTGACCAAGTCCCATATTTGGACCAGGTCCCATTCCGGGTCCAGGGCCCATGAGACTTGGACCCATGAGACCTGGAGGCATGGGTGGAAGCCCCAGAGAAGTAGGTCCCATATTACTGGGTGGTTCATTAGAATCAGCGTCTTCTTCTGAATTTGGCGACATCATCCATGGCTTGTGATCGGAATCAGAGGACTGATTTGTAGGTGGCATTACAGGAATTTGCATAAGAGCTGGGATATTATGAGAGCTGCCTTTGTTGTCAACAAATTTCTTTCTATCTTCTACCACTGGCGTAATTGGACTATGGGGACGAATGCGGGCATCCCTACGATTGTCGTTCCACCGACGATGTTTGTCTCTGTAAAAAGAAAAATAGTTGGTGTTATTAGAGCTATAGGGCATGGTATTAAAATGTAATTTTACAGAACCGTATTGTTTGCGATATACTATTGTAAATGTTTATGGTAAATGCAAAAGTAGTCAAATACATCAGTATTTTGGAAACTCACTTACATAGATGTATGCACAAGTTGCTTAAAAAAACAAACCAAACAATGTTTTATCCAAAATATTATAATACCATTTTAATACAATGGTCCATGAATAACAATTGCCAATGAATATATGATAAATGATTTAGTCATTTCATTTTTCAGTTGCCATTAGATATAGACATCTACCTTTGAAGCTAACCGATTCACTAACCAGGTACCCTCATGGGATACTTGACAAATTCAACTTATTCAAGAGCATTTGAAACCGTATTAGATGATGGAAATTATGAAATATTTCAAGACCAATATAATATTTACCTTTGACCTCTATCACCTGACTTTCTCCTTTCTTCATTCTTAGGTGCTATATATTCCTTTTCATGTTCCTCATCATTTTGAACCTGCTCATTACTTTCTTTGGTGCCATCCTCCTCATTCTGTTTCTCATGTTCTTCCTTTTCTTTTGTGTCTTGTTTCTGCTTTTCCAATAAAGCTTTAAACTGACTCATGAAGCTACCATCATTGGAAAATATATTGACTGAACCCTGGTCATCAGATTGTGGAGGACTGTAAAAATGATTGAATCATTATAATAATTACAAAACATTGTTAGAATTTTGTGATAATTATATTAACATTTAGTAGTGTTCTTATGTTCAGTACTTTAAAACTAACAGTAGTATTTAATACAGTTATAAAAATATTAATAGACAATATCACAATACACGAAAAGAGGTGGGACTACCAGTTTAAGGTCAATAGAAAATATACGGAATATATCTCAGCATTCAAAGGCGACCTTACAAGCCTCACATGTAACCCGAAGAAGTACCAAGAACTACTGCATAAGGTGGATGACTTCTGTACCTGGACAGAGGGAATGAGAACAAAACAAATGCTATTGCCTTTTTCTAGGCCGGCGAGGTACCAGATATACATCATATGACCCCCAGGATTACTATTGGTTATGGATAGTAGTGGATAGTGTTATGGATCTTCATGACGAATAATATTAAACGAAATAAATATATTATATTGAAACTTTATGAAGGAAATTATGTTGTCATGAATAAATCCTACATTTTGAATTTAATGTAAGGACTAAGGCTTGAACTTTAAGGTTGTATCTACAAATCGAACAATATCTTATTCTATTAAAGACCTGTGATGATACAAGTTTATGTACGTTTCATAGCTGACGTGAAAAAAATAATGAATAATATGAACAAACTTGGACAATTTAGCCTGTGCGGCAAGTGCTGCAGCTTGCTTTTGGGCTTCCACCTTAGCCTGTATCTCCATTTTCTTCCGCTCGATTATTTGTTCCTGTTTCGACATTTGGGCCCATCGTGTACTCAAGGCAGATTTAGTTTTATTATCTTTAAAATGAATCATCGTTACAAAGAATTACCTAAAAACTAAATGTTTTTGAGCAGTTAATTAACAATATTTTATTCAGATTAACCTTTTTATTCTACAGCATTGATAGAGATGGGCGTAATTATTAGATAAGATTAGTTCTGTGGATTAGGTATCTGGATTAGGTATTTATTGTACCATTTTCAAACTATGCACATAAAGTAGTGGTCTAAGGATCAAGTAGATATTTATAAGTAGTATGGTAGCATTAAATTATAAAAGTTACTGACCTTTCCAATATATCTAATCCTAAACTAAGTGAAGCCTGTCCCATTAGAACCGGGCAGCTGATACATATTTTCCAATAATACCAAATACTAATACTAAACCTGAACTAAAATACCAAATACATGATTAATACAATTATATTGCATCCAGAAACAGAAAAGGTGGCCGTGTTTGTAAAATATTTTTTGCCGTAGGTAGGAAGCGATCCCACAACGTCTAGCTTCAACAGTCAAGATAAAAAAAACAAGCTAATATAAGAATGTAAAGGTATAATATGTATTCATAACTAATTTGTACTCAAAAATTTATTTTAGAACGTTATGCTAACAGTTTTAACACATTGTATTTTAAACAACTTAAACTAATATTTCTGCTCACCTAATGGCTAATGTAACCAGTTTAAGCAAGGCAATTTTCCCGACTTTGGCGCCGGGTCCTCATTGCAGTTATCGGAGGGGATCTCTCGCTACCGGACGTCATACGCTCTATGGCTGGTGATGACAGATGTTTGATGATGAACCCGAAAGTGGTGCCCGCGCCTTTGCAGGCAGGCGCTAGGAGGGGTCAGGATGTCTTAATAACAGCAGTTCCCGGATCCACCCTATTACAAGCGTAGAGTGGCACACCGTGTGGTTTTAGTCGGTCCGATTCCGAAACACCACCCCGCCGCAAATCCCGGTGGGGTGACGGCCCGAGGGGGTTTCATCAAGTAAAAAAAAAAAAATTTAAGCAAACATCACTTGAACGTAATTTTAGTTTTAAAATATTTATTTCAAACTGAAGAACAGGAAAAGGTTTAACTTATTATAGTATTACCTGGCAAGTATAAAATCGGAGTCGGAGTTTGATCATAGATATAAACTAAATAGAAAGATTTTAGTTACTCTTTATTTGGTGTAGGTAAATAGAGTGGTTAAAGTAGGAGTTCCTAGAAGATACGTGGTAGCGTTGCTTTGGCATATGTGGGCCGGCTTGACCGGAGTGATACAATGGCCCACCGAGTGAGTGAGATTACTGGAGCCCAGGGAGGAGGACCCCCTCATTCTGGGAGAGGGCTCTAAAAGCCGTAACTTGTCTCTTGAGTTGTAGAATGAATTTTAAGTACAACTTACACTTACAAAATAAATTTTAAAATGGGTATGTTCATAAAGTTACGGATTGGAATTTTTTATTAAAAAATTACGCTCAATTTTTATTTTACGAAACATCATTTCTTGTAAGTAGATTCTGTAAATTTTCACTGTTAAAGTGAAAGAATCGAGTTCATGCATCGTCTTTATTCGACGAGTATCTAATTAAAAGTATGGGTAATCTAAATGAGACTTTTAAGTTGAAATGTCTTCAGCCTCATTCGCTGTGCTCATTCGTGTCACTGACACTGGCCCGGCCACAGTCAAGGATTTTTTGATAACACAAACATTGTCGCTAAGTACATCTTGACATCACACCAAGAGCAAATTTTTATGTTTTCTAATTTTAAGTTACTCATATCTTACCTAGTAATTTGAAACATAAAAACATATATTTAATTGAGAATTATCTCGCTTATAACTTACCAGTGACCGACAAGTACAATCCAATAAATGCTTACGACCGTTTTAGGTGTACAAAGTAGACCCTGCGTTCCAAACTAAGTATTCCTGTAACTTGGAAGACAGTGTTCCGCTGATGGCTCGTTTACGGTATTCCTGTAAAGTGTGACTGTTAATGAGTATGTTTGTAGAAGGGATCGGAGTTGTTGGATAATAATAAATCTTTGTTTTTTCACATAAACAGACTTAGTTGTGTTTATTTTGTGTGAGTAAGCAATCCTTTGGTCTGCCGTAGTCCTGTTCTAGTCACCATCCATACTAATATTATAAATGCGAAAGTGTGTCTGTCTGTTACCTCTTCACGCTTAAACTGAAATTAGGAATATAGTTCGACGGTACCGCGAAAGGACATTTTTTATCCCAGAAATTCTCCCTAGGACGGCCACCTAGGAACGCTTATAACTTGTGAACCAGTGACCGAAAAATTAGCGACTACATTTTTGTTTTCAAAATTAAAATCCATGATGGTGGCCTTGCCAGGGTCAGTGACACGCCTGTCAGTAGTCCTATTGTTCTTCAGAAAAACACTGTCTCTGGAATTCTGATTTGTTTACTTACTGAGATATAATATACTTTTCATTTAGTCTAATCCTTGCGTTGATTCATATTTACCGTAGCATGTTCCAGTAAGTTGGTTATTTGGTGATTTTTGGTTGACCAGGCTTATCTCGATATACCTACTTATATATCTATGGTCCATGGATTCTCGACGAATCTTATATTACTTGTAGCTATTTCAGTTAGTATTCGTATAATTATTTATTTAATAGGATTCCAACAACACCGAAGCACTCGGAAAAAATGTTTCCAAAACCACCCACAATTTTTCCTGTTTCTATAAAGATCTGTATTTTTCAATTTTAAGATAATATTTTATAGTTTAGAGTTGGATTTATATAGATTTTTATTTACATAAAGTTGAAACGTGTGTAATTTACCAGATAGCTTTAAGTAACAAAACGTTCAATGTTAGCCTTGTATTAGATTAAAATAAAACATCACAAATATTTGCATATTATTCTTTTTATATTTTTTTTCTTCAGTTTAAATGGAAAATACAATTTCATTTATTTATAATGTTGTCATTTATTATTTTGTAAACAAATATATTATAAAAGATTTACATATTACTATCAAAACAAAATATTCACAAAATGGCAGACTAACTAAACAATTACTTAGCTGTTTCATCAAGCATGCTAACAATTGCATCGTTTTGAGCTAAACAAGAAGGAGAAAGTTTGGCACTGATCCCATTATTCAAATAAAAAGTAAAGATGGCATAAATGCACATTGCAGCAACACTATCTGTCGTACAAGATAAGTTAGTCTGTTTGTCCAGATTTTGAATAGGTACCTTTTATAACGATACTCTTCACAACCTCTCTTCAGCTCATGTTTTGCATGATCTAATACTGACTACTTATTTTATTTCCACGTAATCACGATCAGACGACTAGCGTCTACGCACTGCCAAAGTTTTCAAAACTATAAAGGGCAACGCCAAAGAGAGCCTACATCTGACTATTGTTTCTGTGGTAACTTCGACAGTTATGATAAACTAATCTGCTGCCTCATTATATCGAAATTCAAATTGACTTAATTAAAAAAAACAACAAACTCGGGCTCCTTTCATAACAATACAAATTCCATTGCATGGATAAAATTAACTCAATTTTAAAACATTCAAACAAATCATCAATCAATTCAAATTAAAAAGTACCTCTTCACATTTCTGCATTACCCTGCCTTAACAAAATCATATTATACACTTAGACAGTTGACAAACAAAAAAAGCAATGGAAGAGGATAATGAGCAAATGAAATCACAAAATATATAGAACATACGACACTGTGTAAGGTTGCTTGAGTGAGTGTGCTTTGGTGTTCCAACTGAACATAAGAGGTTGCAAACTTACACAAAACATTTCAGTGTAGCAAAAAGCTTAAATCTCTTCCACTGTTACATGAAATGCCGAAAAGAAAAGTATAATTGATAAATTGTACCTATACTTTGTTTATACTCTAATTTTTTTTTACATTTTAATAATTTAAAAACAACCAGTACTTGGTCGAGAAATTTATATCCATTTTTTTTGTGTATTTTATATTTTGATGAATATTTATAAGCTAATTAACGTGAGCCGATGTCAGGATTCATAGCTAGTCGTCGTTCGCTCGAACCGGCTGGCAAGTCTGTCTCGTCCGCCCGACTCGAGCTTGTATAACGTATCTATACACATTAACACTACCGCATCTATACATCTCGACTCATATAATATAATGCACTGATATTTCGAGGGGCACAGGAATATCGCAGCATTGTTCCGTCCGCCGTCGCCGCCTCGGGCCGCGCCGACACCGACGTCTCGGAAATTATTTCCCCGTCATATACATTTCATAGTAATTAATAAAAATAAAACACTAAGATTACATCCCTTAACATGTCTAAATGTCTAATTCGTACTCTATTTACATTTGACATAATACATAATATTCAAATTGTTCGGTGACGACAGTCTTGCGAGATCGATGTCGAGCTCGCGCTCGCGGCGACGGCCTACCACTGATTACTGTACAGCAAATTTACAATAACATTTGATCAGAATACGCAAACTCAATGATATATATATCTAAAATTAAAGTAACGTAAGGATCATCGTGTATGTAACGCCCGCCTTAAGCTGCTATAATATCAGTTATGTTAAATAATATAACATTAAATTTTGCACATGACAAAAATGCCACTCGATAATATGCGTAACAATATTGAATTAAATAAAATAGGCCACTTTCATTGTAGCAGTTCAATACAGGGGTTAACACAACTAGAATGAATAATTTACAATAAGATACTCTTTGACAAAATGAATGCACTGAATCATTCCGCTGTGGCGCATTTGTCATGCCGCAAAGATTGATAATTATAAATCTGGGGAATTAGTACTCCTAATATATCACTAACTAGGATTTAAGATGACATCACTAGATACTAAATACCTTCTACTCTGTACAATGGACTATGATATTTTATTGAGATATCTTTCCTTTGTATAAACATGACAAAATACAAATATTTCTGTCCAACTTTATAATAACTTAATCGGTAACAATCGAGCAACATTTGACATTTTATTACACCCTTTGTGACAGTATAATTAGATATTATATCATATTACGTAATAAAGGGATTTCTTATTTTAAGTAATTTGGGCATTGTAAATATGAGTCTATTCTATGTTCCATTCCTGATATGACACTACGATGTAAGCCTAAAACGATTTTTGTAGTATAGTGTCATATTATACTTAGAACTTGTAATAAGGCCGTGTAGTACTTTATATGAGTTTTCAATGCCTGTAAAAATATATTTTCAATCTATAACGCTATCGATGTACTAGGTGCGTCAATGAACAGTGCTAAATAACGGTTTTGACAAATGGAATGCATTTCTCACAATATCCACTTCAATAATCAACAACCTCCCAAAATATTAACGGAAGAAATTATTTGTAAGTAATGATAAAATGATTTAATTAGTATAGTGCGCTTTACAATCAATAGTTACGAATTATAATAAAACAATCGATAGTTCTTAAACTAGTGGTAACAATAACATTTTAACTGATTGATCCTATCGATTTCCAATGATTTCATTTGTATATTAGTGAAAAAGATAAATTTCACACTAAATAATGCGTATAGAGAAAGGCAAACTTGGTCGAGCAGGGTATTTATTACAGGAATTCGTATTAGGCATTTTAAGTGTTAGCTCGGGAAGCGAAGTCCCGCATAAAACAGCTACTTACAGTGTTTTGTTACAACTGTTATTATAACAACAATATTTGAATCAATATATTTAATTTGCAAGCTTAAATCATTTAAATGGGTATGAAAGGGCAGTTCATTGTGATAATAAAGTCTTATAACAAATCTGTCACAGCAACTGTCTCTTTAGAATTTATGTGATTTGAATAAATAAATAACCAAAATTAAAAAATCCACAGGAAAATTTAATTACCTAATATCATGGCCATAATATTGAGCATTATAATGAGTAAAAAAAGCAATGATAAACCACAAACATGTCATCATGAGCAACAAAAGGGCACTTATGTTTGAATTGACCAAATAACTTCACTTCACTAATAAAAATCTACACTTTCTGTATATACATAAAACAATTGACGATTATAATGAGAAAATGAAACACTAATGCCGCTTTGACACATTAATTGACAAAAAACTAACAGAAGTAACGTTACTCTTTAACAATATCTTGTAAATCTACGAAGTGTTCGAGTTATATTACAATATACGCATTTAACAACAAAGAAGTATACATTAGGCGAAAATTAACATTACAATGATAATTACCAAGTTTAAGGACGCTTATGCCGTTACAAGTTGACTTCAACAAACTGCATTTGGAAATACGTAATGGACATGCACAAATTGTTCGCCTCAAAGATTAAAATCAGAATTACTTAATGCTAAATCATTTCAAATATGGACGTTACTTTCAGGACATAATATGCAAGACGGCTTTCCACACATTTGGACCAGGGAATGTGTACAGTCGCGCTTAGATCACGCGTTTGGGCGAGGACTGTCGTCTGATCCGCATGTACACTATATTTCCTAAGAATTTTATTGTGATCTGGAGGGTATTTCCAAAAGGACCAGATAAGTTCCTTACTTCTAGTGGATGTTTAACACTGGCCGGTTGTTGCTATTATTTAAGACGTTATGTTTGGCGATGGAAAATAATTACATTTGCTTCACAATATTTGGCAAACATCATTTTAGCATTTGGAACTCTGTCGTGTAATCCCGAAAACTTTCTAACACTAAAACATGAGTCGCTAAGCTCCAGAAGAGCTTTCTTTGTGACATTCAGTGAGTTACTTCATACCCTTTACATTGTATACACGATCTTTAGCCGGCAATGACACGACACAGCCAAATTTAATAAATACGATATACTATATTGAAAATAAACCCAAATATATACTAGTCATAACAAAATTTAACAAGAACTTGATAAAATTTCTTTAAGATACTATTATTTACAACATGCAAGTCGGGCAAGACAAAGTAAAATGAACGTCCAACATTAAATATGGATGGATTATTTAGAAAAGGGACGACATTGGATAAAATACTAAACGGTAAATACGTTACGCAAAAAAAACTGTTGTTTGAAGGCAGTAGTAATAGGCCAGGATCGAAATTGACTTCACGAAATTTTCACTTCACTATGAAATTTTATTCATTTGTATTTTGACCTTTTAATAAAGAGAAATAGTAAAAATAATGCCGCAATCAAAATTTATTTGGACAACAATAACATTAGACGGCAATAATTTTCGACTGGAATTAAATGTGGACGAACATATATCTAGTATTGGACTATTAAATACTTGATATTTTTTTAATATACATAATATTATATTTACAGTATAAAAATCAACCAGGTATAAGTGTTGGCGATATTTCCTCAGCTCGAATGTCGAGTGTAGACTTTGCAATTGCCAATAAGTACTTGACAACAGCAAAACATGATAGTAATAGAAGAGAAATGTTTTTATTTGCGTTAATGTTAAACACAAACAAGTAGCAGTTGGGACAAAAGTACGTACATGTTGCATTAGATTGATTACAGTAAAACGTATTAATTACAGGGGATCAAAAGTAAGTAAAGTGAAATATCACTATACTGTGGATGGTTAAGGTATCGCTCTGTTAAAATTAATGGAAGAACAATAAAACTTAATATACTACTATGTAACTTAATATTTTTTATTTATAAACTATAATGAGAATGACTAAAACAGAACAAAAATTACCTCAACCACATTGTCACAACTGGTGATTGTCTGCCAAGTTGGCAGGCGTCCGGCGTATATAATGTACACCTTTAACGCTTATCTTAAGTTCATTAACAAGGCATTTATTCATATACGAATACCGAACTTTCATTTTCGTCCTTGCTTAGAGGTCAATTGTTCGTTTGAGTTTAATTGAAGGATCATACTTTATATGCATGCATGAGTCATATATTTATTACTAATTTTCCTTGTTTATAATTTTGTTCATACACTATGTTATGAATATAAACTTCTAAATAGGACAAAAATACGAGGACTATGTTCTAAAACATTATTTGGAAGTTCCATTATTTATTTATGAACATCTAAATATGAATCCTCCTACTTTTATGCGAGTTATAGAAGTCACTTCAGTTTCCACAATTATCACAACGATATAAATAGTATATTTACGCCTGAAGCCTGCCAATGATAACACTGCATGCAAAACTGTAATATGTTGAGTAAAATGTTATGCCAGATGATAGCCAAGACATCTTATTATGGGTTTAAGTGATCAAAACGTAAGATACCAAATAAACAGTAAAGTTCTAGCGTATATTATCCTATGGATATTTTATACATAACTCTAAGAAATCGGTATCTACAAATCGGTCATCGGATATCGTCGATTGAAACGAATTGTTACATGTCACGATATTTCTAAATTCTTATATCCTCCACGATAAAAGTCTGACAGTCAGCGCGGCTTATCAAGACCGTTGAGTACGTACAGCCTGACGTATTATAGTCTACTATATAATATAAAAAGCTTAAACTCTGTCACTATGCGGGAGACACTGACTCGTATAAAAACTATAGATCTTGTATTATAAATGTCCAGTATTAATGTTGAGATGCTCTTGCGTAGCGTTATATCAGTACTAAAGGCAACGGGCGGGCGGTGAATTACTCAGATGTCAGTATGCCTGAGTGGTGCTTGCGGTGGAAACACGCTCCGGTTTCAGGTTTCGCTGTAAACAAAAAAAAATAATTTTAAATTAACGCATCGATTATTCAACGTACGATAGTGGTAGGCTCATTTAGTAATAAGTATCCTCTTTTAATAATCTTATAAGTGGTTATTACAATAAAGATGTACATTTGTAATTGAAAGCGTCGCACGATATTTTAAAATTACATTTGTATACACAATATCATGGGAGTGACAAGTTAACAATCAATACGGGTAATTAGTTAAAATTATAGTTCTCATTTTTAATGACTAATAAGGCAAAGGATACAACTATTTTCTGTGATAGAATATAAGTTTGAATATAAGTTTTTATTAGATTACATGATTTGTGAGGTTAGGCATTATTTGTAGAATATGTGAATTTCTGTTAATTATTTTCGAAGTTCGAAGTTTTATTATTAATGTTATATTGATTTTTCGCCTACAATTTTTAACGTTACTCTTTAAACGTTAAACGTAATTAGTAATCTACATATTGAATAAAAACTCAGTGTGCATCGTACTTCATTAATTGACTCCGCAATTATATTAGATAATTAAATTGTCAACAATAACTAATCAAAATAATTATTATAATTCAACGGTGGAAATCATAATTCTCACTATTAGTAGATAGCATTGTGGTTTAAATTTGCCTCAAACACGCTACGCACCTAATACATTCGCTATCGAAATTGTAATAAAAAGAATAGATACATCATCACATACACAAAAATCTGTATACACATACATAACATGCTACCCAGTAAAGCAAGAAACATTCGCATATGTAACCGTAAGGTTTTTATGCTATTCAGTTGAAATCTCGCTTCGATCGTAGCAATCAAAGTAAATTACTGAAGTCATCGTTAGGAAAAACATTTAAGTTGAGTCACTGTAGGTGAATAGTGAAGAGTAGACACACTCAAAACAACATTAATCGACATCTACATTATATTATATCATAACCACGATTTATCTAATATTGACATAGACACTTACGGGCACGTTTCCATAGTCCTTCAAATGTGTCGTCACAGACTTGAAAATAAACAAAAGTGTAGAATGTGAGATTATAATTTAGTAATAAAACTAATCTGACTGATATCATCATTTACCCAAAAAAAGGTTGCTAACATATTATAATGTAATAATAAACACCTTATTTGGTAAATGATCATTTTTGTTGGACATTATATAATTAATAAAAAAAAATCGCTTTAGTTTCACATTTGAAAAGTACTTTCGGATGACATTAAATTTAAATGCTTTGTTTTAATCAGCTGGTTATCACAATAGTAATATTGTTATTATGAAATACTATTGACGTATGTAAACATACAGCGGAGTGAACGTGCGTCATAAAATAATATTCGTTCGACGAAGCAAAATTTGGGTTTTTTTAACATTTAATTATAGGGTAATTAAAAAAAAATATATTTTTGTCAAAAACGGACTTAGTTAATCATTTAAAAAACTCTTTAACATATTTATAATCTAAATAAGTTTATCAAAAGTTAAATAGAGCAATTTTTATAACTTGTCATGTGGATGTTATATGAGTCTCATAAAAAACATACGGACTGGTTTTGTGTAGGAGCTATGGTATAGTATAGTATACTAGCTTTATCATTAACCTTCACTTTTTATAACTACACAATTTTTATTTTAATAATCATAACAAATATAAATTTAAAAACAGAAATTACTCGATTTCCTGTATTAGTTACGTTTGTTAGGTCAACATACTATCTTTATGTCATAAAAGTAGCTATCAAAGACATGGATATTAAAAAGTTGTGATATGTTCTTTTCCCATAACTCTGATTAACTCCTAAATTACTAAAGACAGTCGGTAATATACCACCGCTAATCGAATTCTAAGGGACGTTATTAATATGGTTGTGTATTATTATTATAATTGAGATAGCTATAACTGTGGACGTTTGTTACGGGGTTAAAAAACCAAACAGTCAACAAGACTATGAAAGACATTAAAAACATACATAAAGGTAGACTAGTAACTCACCAACTGATCATATTGGTTGACCATACGCTTGATATGATTGAGTTTGCGATGTAAAAAGTTCACTCGCCGTCTCTCCTTTTTGTATGCGGCGTCATTGTTCACACGGCGGTATTCATCCACGATGCGCTGTTCTATACTCTGCGTACAAGAGAATACATTAGCTAACTGCTACCGCGAGTACTAATATATTTCTATACTTCTCGGTATAGACACAGCACAGAATACGCTGAGAGGAAACACTAAGTTATAACTATCGGACCATAGATAATTTAATGTCGATTTTTTTATTAAATTACCATATATATGAACGATTATCTACTTATTAAACGCTCATCGGTAAAGAGTGGGTCAGTTAATATATTTTTTTTATATATATTATATTGAACGGTGTGACGAAACAAATAAGCAAGAGTAAATGGGAGTCGGTGCACTTGTGACGTAAGGAGGAGCGGAGAGCGCGGCTAGGCACTAGTGATGCGCAAAATGTATCACTGAGCTGAAAAGATTGATACATATCATTTCGCTCAAAAGATATATATCACTCATCTAGCTCACTAGCTCATTTAGCTCACTAACTCATTTAGCTCACCAACTCATTTAGATCACTAGCTCATTGATCCAAATTCAATTGATTGGTCTCTCAATTAATTAATAATTAATTAATTATTAATTAATAAATTAATTAATTTATTATTAATTAATTATTAATTCTTCATCTAAGTCTTTAAGCCACTTTAAGCCTCTCTCGCCATACAAACCTTTCCTTATTTTCATATTAACCTAAATTCAGTTTTTGAAACTACATTTTTAACCTTTTTTTTTTTAAATAAAATTTATTCTTTTGATAAGATTACATAATTATTAACAATCTTTTATTTAATATTTAAAAAAAGAAATTATTTCTTGTACTTTTTTTTTAGGTTGTATAACAGAAATCATACATAATTTGATTTTCCTTGTACTTGGCAGGCTTAATTCTTAAGTACCTAATATTAAATTTTGATCCTATAGAAATAATGTACATTTTGCTTAAAGAAACTTGCGTGAACTCAACCATCATCTATCTCACTCATTTATCTTTAGTCTCACTCGCTCATGAAACAAAGATCGGCGTCGTTGAGCTAGTGATCTAATGATCTAGTGAGCTAGTACTGAGTTACTGATGTATTCGGAGCTAGTGTGAGTGAGTGATACATTTTATCGTCGTGAATGATATATATCTTTTATATCACTCATTCAGGAGCTACACAACTCTACTAGGCACGGCTGGGTACCTGGTGGTGCGGCGAGAGCGGCTGCGCGCGCTTGAGCTCCTGCTCGAGGCGCGTGAAGAGCGCGGCCACCTGCGCGATGCGCGCGTACAGCAGCCGGTACTCCTTGTACAGCTCCGCGAACTCGTTCTTGTACGCGCGCCGGATGTTCGAGCTCGTGATCGGCGGGTATTGCCTGCATATGTATTGTCTGATTATTTAGCCGTCACTTCAAATTTGTGGATTCTTACGAAATAGTCTAGTTATAGTATAAATCTAGTTTTTAGAAACGGCTATCGACCATATTACGGTTCATCTAATCTAAGAGGTACAGTTCGACAGATTGAAGTATAGCGATCGTGTCACAGAAATCGATTACTATGATATCCGATTCTTAAGAGATATCGATATAATTTCTTAGTAAATACTGATCGATTACAGTTTTACTGATTTATGTTACTATAAAAACCCTTGTAATGGCATTTCATAGGTTTTATTAGTAAATCTTAGTATACACTAGACTCGATTAACCTTCATACTTTTAATTTTAATTATGCGTTTTCGTTGACGATTGGATGTCGGATGATTTTAAGTATTATTAAACACTTTAAAACGCCTGGATTGCCAACGACTCGTTTTTAATAAATTCGATTTTCGTACATTTTAACGATTATTCGTATTTTTTATGCGATTGTAATTTGAATTTAGGGATTATGAATTGTATATCTTGCGATAAAATAAAAATAGCTTACAGAAAAGGTTATTGACACTGTGTGAGTTACGCCTATACAAAGTTCCTTTGTCTTGAAAAGTGTAAAACCTCAAATGGTACCTCTTAAATTAGACTATAGTAGTAAGTATAGTATAGTAGTAAGACTATAGTAGTTGTATGTCTCGGAAAAACTTATTAAAAAAATTCTACCTTTCAATTTCGTCCAATGACTCTTCTTCAGCCATATTCTCATCAGGGACAGGTGCAATTTCAGGATTTTCTAATGGGACATTATTTGCAATTTCTTTTTCTAGAAAAAAAGAAACATTTTTGTTTATAACTATTATTACTATTTAAAAATATTTGTATAGACAATTTACTTTAGAAGGAAAAAGTTGTTTTAACAGTTTTTTAACTAATTGTTAATATTTAAAAACATCATATATATTTTGATTAAAATATGTGAAATCATGGTCATATAATTATAATATCAATGGACTTGATGGTTTAAAGTAAAAGTTAATAATGTCTTAAAATACTTCAAGGAGCTACCTGCAATAACATTACACCACACAAATAAACTTTCTTGATTGTTTGGAGAATTGACCACTGTTGCAAATGTTGAAATGAAAATGGACTACTACTCGGAGTATATTGTTTCCTATTACATTTACTTTTATAGAACATACCTGCAATATTATTTTGCTCTACTAGGGGACTACTTCTAAAACCGTTTGCCTTCACAGGACTGGGGCAGAGATCCTTTACTGTAGTATAGTTGAGGGTGTAACCATTGTCTTTTTTAACTGTAAAGAAAGATATTTGAATTAATTAGAATTATCTTATATTTATAAAAATGTTAAGTTGGTTTGTGTACGCATCAAAACTCAGAATGTGCTATTGCTATTATTTGTGTACAATTAGCTGAGTATGTAGTAATTCCAACTATTATATGAAATGTTTTGCATTGAGTGCACCTTTCTATGATGTATGACTGTAATTTAGGTAACAATTTTCATGTTACCTTTACACACGGTTTTGGGTAAATCGATAACAAATGTTTTATTACAGCTGAGTAGCAATTTTTAAACTTTTAACTATTTACCTTCAATACTAAATTTGTACAATTTTGGGTTTCTTTTTTATTTAAGCGTACTCGGTGGGACTAAGTTCAGTCAAAATTCCAATTTCACTACCGTGAGTAGTTAAATTGGTATTTCGATAGAGTTAAAAAACTATTATGTAGACGAAGTCCGTTGGGTGAGCATATACGAACCATTGGTCCGGTCGTCCTCGTTGTCGGAGGCCTGCCTCTCCCCGGAGGAGGTGGTGGCGTAGCCGGAGGAGGGCGGGGAGGGGCGGCGGTAGTGCGAGATGCGCTGCTTCTTGGCCGCGGGCGGCTCCACGTCGGCCACGCTGGGCAGCACCGACACCGACGCCGCCGCCGCCGCGCCGCTGAGAGAACAAATGGCCGTTACACGCTCGTCATACTGGCGAGACCGAATGTTACCGAGGTTTCAGTTTTAGCCTAAAGGCGGAAGCCTTCATAGTAACAAACGACACAATAAAATGAACTAATTTAATAAATTTACACAAAGTAAGTTTTGATAGACTCGATGTGATTCTCGTTTCTGATCGACGATCGCCGTTAGGCATTAATTACATTATGGGCTATTAATATTAATTTAATGTATCTTTAAGCAAATATATATTTATAAAACGACAATTTTAGAGTTGACCTTTAGTTGGGAAGCGACTAAAAGTAATTAAAATCATGTCTCAGCGCCCTTTGAACTTAGACACAAAACTTGTTTCATTTTATTCGAAAGATTTGAATTTCGTGTTATCGTGTTGGAGTATATCAAGCGTTGGTAATTACCTGTTGGGAGGCAGGCTCGGGACCGGCAGCGGCGCCGTACTGGTCCGTTTGCTGCAACTGGGGGAGGCGCGCGGTGAAAGGGAGTTGGCCGAATCGCTGCTTAGCGGTGGCGTTAGGTTTTGAGGTTTCCGCCTGTAGAAAATAAAATAAATATTATTTCCTTTTCTTTTAAATTTTCGACATAAGAAGTAAACCATCGAACCAAAATCTAACTTTATCTAAAAGAATATTTATTCAAAACATTAAGTCAGTTAAGACAATCTAAAAGAACTTAGGTGAAAATCGATATATTATAGAAAAACTATAATGTCGCCGATAGAAGTGACAATATAGTAGACATTTAAGTGATCGACGTTGTAGCAGGATTATTAGAATGATTCTTTTAGCAAACAAACTAAAACTATTATACGTTCGTGAAAATAATATGTAACTTACCTCTTGAGCATGCGTTTCTCTTCTTCTGAATAGAATGGCCAATCCTCATTGACGTCATTCCAAACATTTCTACGTAAATGGTAACAGTTATCCTTGAGCGTACTGATATGAGGCAGAATCTTGTTCACCAAGCTGCGCTCTTTTTCTTTGATACCCTCTGTGAAGTTTAAATCGAGCGTTAAGTTAAAATTTTGCCTTAAACTTTATTCTAACTAAAGTTCTCAAAATCTTAACCTACCACTATTAAGCCTTAAATACAATTCGGGCTTCTTGAAGGGTCGCAACGCTAATAACTGAATAAGTCTTTCTCTGTAACAGAAAAATGAACAAGTTAGGTATGCTTATAATATAAACATTTTATAAAAACAAAGAGGATTAACCTAATGAGATACCCGCCTAACAGTAAGGCTGTAACCTAAACAACACCAGGAATATCAAATGAGCATCGCCGACCTTGTAGAAGGTATTATATAAAATTTGTTAAAGTCATAAGGCTTGTTTTACCACTTTTTATGATAAAGCTGCCACAGGCAGTATAAGCTGATTAATTTACTATTATCAGTTCTTTTGATGACATGTCAAAATCACCTTGATGTACAATTTTCATTGCAAAATAAAAACGATTTATTACGTCCTTGAGTCTGAGTCATTCGCAACTGTATTGACTCTAATTATATTCAACTACGAGGAAACAGTACCAAGATGTTGAGCTGACTAACTGGAACGTCTAATTCAGTTTATTGTGTAAAAAAAACATAGGTTTCAAATGTTAATTTAATTGTTTTTTTTTTAATCTTGTTCTTGGCACGTCTGTTATACAACAATGTTCGAGTTTTGATTTACGCGTCAAAAAATTAAGCAATATCGTAATTAAACAAGGCCATGTTTCATAACTAACATGTCCAGTAACTTTTGTAAAGCATATGCGTTAAGTTTGCCAAGTGGCAGTCTAAGGCAGTTAGTTGTTTGACTTAAAAATAAGTATTTATAATTATTTAAACATAAAACCGCCAGCGTTTTGTATATCAGCCGCAAATTATCATATTGGTTTTATTATGATAACGATATGACCAATTTATCATCCAACTGTTCTGTCGGCGACAAAGTAACACTTCTTATGTAAGAGAGTTATTTCTCTATCAGGCAGTATCATTTTGTTTGTGTGGTAGTTATCTTTCATGTCATATACACATTAATTTGTTTTAACATTCATAATTATTGAAATAAAAAGGAAAACTGAAAATTCCATGAATAAGCAATGTGCTGACGTATTGGTGAATCCCAGAATTGTTCATCGTAAGCAATATTAATTTATTTCCTAAGAAACGAGTAGCAAAGATGAATTGCCCTTTTTAGTACACTAACTAGTACTATTATAATCAAAGTTATGACATGATTGACTGACATTAGGAAAACATTACATAATATACGCGTCATTATTACTAATGACCTAACGAATGTATATCCTGCATTTGGTCTAGATATGCCATTTATTTCATGCAGAAGTTTAATTCAAGAATAGTCAAAAATAAATCGAAAAAAGGAGTGGCACAAGATTACGAATCTTTGAATTTTACTTGAACTTTCTCGAAGTGATAAGAATGATTAGGCGTAGGCAAGGTTACGCAAGTTTGATGACCATTTAATAAATGTTTGTCTTATGGAACATTTGACTATAGTTTAGCACATTTTTTGTGGGAGATCACTTTTACTGTTAAGTATATATCAGAACCAGATTTAATATAAAACCAACATACGTGTAATGACAACAACATACGCGAAACAAATTCATGTTCTATATGCGACATTTATGTATCTACCTAATCATTCCTTTTTAGTTATTGTACTGTAGTGGGCAATACTGGACAATCATAGTTTACAATAAACAGTTCATTTTCTTTGAGATCTTTAAGAGATTCTTTAGTGCAACAGATACACTTTAAATGAATCAGAACTCAACTTCTTTTTGCTGGGAACCGTAAATTTTTTCAATTTTTCAACTGAAAGTTTATGGCGTTGTTAGCAGTGTGCTAATAAAAAATAGTTTTCTTTTCTTTCTTTTCCTTTTTAAAAAAGACAACTCCCGCATTAGGAATAAGTATATTTTGTGTCGCGGGGGACTTTACAAACATACATGAAACGGACACAAAGAACATCCAGACTCGGAACAAAATTTGTGGATCACCCAAAGTGTTGTCCCATGTGGGGATCCGACACACAGCACATTGCGTAGCAGTAAGCGGCAATCCGCGTGGTGACGGATTAAGAATACAGAGTGTCACCACCCCTTTTCATCCCGTGGGTGTCGTAAGAGCCGACTAAGGGAAAAAACTACGCAGCACAACAGCACTGCAGAGAGAAGGAAAACTTGACACAAACCCTATACCAACCCGTCTGGCCAGCATGGTATAGTAGGCCAAAACCTCCTTTCTAAGGAGAGGCTTATGTCCAGCAGTGGACGATTAAAGGCTGTTGATGAAGCGGCGTGGCGACCGCTTAAACCACTACGCCATCCGTGCAGTCGTGAATTTAGCATTCCTATAGCTGAATTTTAGTGTTATTCATTTGTTTAACAAAATATGCTGTAAGAAGTTTGTTATTAATTAATAATTTTAATATTAGTGTAATAATAGTGCGAAAGATTATGCTTGTAAAGACACGCAACGATATTTTTGATGTCTGATTACTGATTAGTACTACTGGAACACACTAGTAACTATGGTTCGATAAGTGCTGTAAATTACTTTACGACTTACTTTAAGGATCGCCTAGTGAGATCCGGATTAGGGGGTGGCCGTTGCGGCTGGTGCGGGTTGGTGTGCGGGTGCTGTGGGTACTGTTGGTGTGGCGGCTGAACTGGTTGTGGAACCGGGCGAGGCACAGGTGGCGTGGGCCTTTCGACCCGGTCTGGGCGCTCCACCCGTTCAGGCCTTTCCGGTCTATCAGACCGTTCGGACCGCTCGGGCCTCTCTTGTCTCTCTGGCCGCTCGGGACGTTCCGCTCTGTCGAGCCGCTCTGCCCGCTCCGCTAGTTGCGTCGCCCCCGAGTACGGGTGTGATGAACGTACTTTGACTCGACGTCCGATGTCATTTTGATTAGGTTTAATCACGCGGGTGCTGGAATGCGATCAATACGGTGAAAGGAGGAATGTGAAATATGTCATGCATAACTAGTCAATGACAAAACCCAAGTGACAACCCTAGTATTTCAAGTTAATTATTTTCAAGTTTTATAAATCTCAAGATTTGCAAAACATTTTAAAACATAATCAGTAAATAAAAAAATATGTTTAACTTTTGTTTATTAGATAAATAAATGGCATATATTGTGCTGTTCAAAATATTAGCTTTAGGGATTTGTTCTTGTCGCAACTTTATTTGACAAACTTCGTTTGATTTTAATGTAATTCTTCCTATGTAGGTATTTGTGTGCTGTTTGGTACTAACCATTTACTCTGCTCCGCAGCGACTGTTCTCGCCATACGGTCCTTCGTTGCTTCATATGAATCGTCGTTGGCCTGAACGCGCATTCTGCGCGGTAATGGGCCGCAAGACTCCAAACGCCGAGCGCCTCCACTTCGGACGCACTCGAACGATCCCTGAAGCATATTCATATCACATTAATATTGGGGTAAGATTAAACAACATGTAGAATGTAACCACAAAGGATGGAAGGATGTGGTTCTAAACCAGTGCAACGTCCTGGCATTTGATAAGAACTGTCGACAGAATTTTGGGTATTTTATATACTGTGCGAGAATATAAAATTCACCAGTAGAGACAGACCAGACAGAGATTCACCAGTAAGATCACATTTCTTATTTTATTTATCTATACCACTTCATGTTTTTAAATAACATTAGGAACAACAAACAAACTTGTCTGAAATTGAAACTTCCTTAGCGGAGGTTTCAGATTGGGGTCGACTAAATTTGGTCCATTTTAACCTAAAAAAGACACAGGTTTACGCGTTCACCGCAAAAAAAGATACCGTTTGTCGTATCATCTCTTTTTGAGAGTACCTCCCTAACTGCCTCAGCCAGCATCTGAATTCTAGGCATCGATATATCGAGCGAGGTCCAGTTCCGGGGTTACTTAGAGGCTCTCTAGTATATCATGGAGAGTGCCCCGAGGAATTTTTCGGATTAATACCGACCGCAATTTTCCGCCATCGGTCCACACCGCAAAATTTTCATCGCCATTACTTGGATAATTGACACTCCACCAATGTGCGCTTTTCAAGACACTTTTTGCCTCGTACAACCAATCTGTTAAACAAGTTATCGTCTGCAATATTTCAGGACCGATATGACCCAAGAAAAGAGAGTACTCCTTCCTTGAGGCCAGCAACGAGCTTGTGACTCCTAAGTTTCAGGCGTTCATGGGCGGCTGTAGCTAAATTGACATTTTCTTATTATCAAAAGCATCTTGTACTTATAAACAAGGATCAACAAACTGTCAATAAAATCGCAAGGAAATTATTTGAATTCATAAAGAAACTTTCTTTTGAAATTTTCATATATTTTATTTCAGATATGTTATTAGCTCAGTCAAGGTTGAAGAGAAAATGATATTATCGCAAAAAAAAGGCCTGTTGATAGAACACCCTATCGCAAAACGAAATATACTTTCTGCAATTTTTCTTGAATGGGTCGCCTTATGGAATTATACGAGAGAAGTGTGCGTGCAATTGGAGAGGCCTATGTCCAGCAGTGGATTGCGCTAGGCTGATGAGGATGAAGAGTTTGTTCTCAAAAGTGTAATGAGAGACTGTATGTTTGGAACAGACAGCAATATTAAAAATATACTATTAAAATATTCAAATTTCATGTTATTGTTTACCATCAAACACGTGGGTTTTATTAATAATAATCTACCACATTCACACAACGCCATCTAGTCCCAAACTAAGCAGAGCTTGTACTATGGGTACTAGACAACTGATATAAATACATTACACTTTTTTTTTGTAAATACATACATATTATACATAGAAACACACAGACCAAATCAAACATTAAATGTTCATGCACACAAACGTTTGACTTGAGCGGGAATCGAACCCACGACCTATGGAATAGCAGTCCGTTACATAAACCACCACGCCATCCGGTCGTTATTCGTTCGCCATCTTCGTTCCTGTTTCTATTTTCCGAGGATTTTGTTTGTAGTGTAAGTGTAATTAAACTAATTTATTAATTATAGGATTATAATCCTATAATTAATAAATTAGCTTTCCATGCAATTCTAAACGTGCCTGTAGGTAGTGTGATTACATAAAAATAGGTGAAATATGAAAAAAATGAAATGGTTAGGTAATACCCACATGAAATAAATACCGGTTCTTAATCAAGGTGAACTGAGATGTGTGCTCCATCACGTTAAAATTTGTTACATTTTGCAACAATCTTTTTGTGATATGCAAATTCTAGAAGCTGATAGATATACATTATTTTTTTTAAATATTCAACTTATTCCCGAAATCTACACTTTGATGCTTTAAAATGTGAATTTAGTGTGAAATAAAACTAAAATGTGCTTGACACTTGCAAGATCGTAAAAATTAAAGAAGTTTACTCGAATAGATCTTGAATATAATAACTAAACAGGTAATTCCTGTATAAATATATTCTGTGTAATTTTAAAATTGAATATTACGATTTGCAGGTAGACCTATGTCCAGCAGCGGACTATTAAAGACAAAATTAACAGATTGATTGATTTTTGTTGTATTGATATATATACTGCACACCTAGATCTAAGCAGGCATTAACTTAAAAGAAGCATTTCTTTGTCAGTTAAGCCAAAAATAGATTACTATGTTCCTGTGCTATGTTTCTTCATAATCTCTGTAGATATCAGTCAATGAGTTTTCACGAGAATTCTTTTATTTGAGCTTAAGCAGTGAGATTCAATCCTTTAATAGAATTTATAAAATATATGACGCTCTGTTTAATTTGTGAGTCAATCGTTGGGTGATTTTGTTTTCCTCTCAAATCAGTTCGAATAACTCCTGATTTGTTTTCATGAAATATGATTTTTATATCTCAAGTCAAGAGTGGATTTGAATTTTGGATTGTGAATCCAAAATTAGAGTAACTTCAAAATAAAAGGCGTTGTTAAAAGATCTAAAATATTTTTTGCTTGAGTATCGACATTCAGGCTTTTTTGTTGCGAGTTTCGTGCTACAAATTTTCATCCCTTTTTAAGCTTCTTCTTGGTTTTTTGAGTTCAAAGGAGGCTATAGTCCATTCCAAAAAAGTGATGTATCGATCAAGCCCTACCCCCTGACCAATCAGGTTTCAAGAAATTATCGTTTCGTACGAAAGCTTTTTTTAGTAGGTTGTGCCAGTTACTACACACTTTTGTGACTTTCGATTTCTACTGCACTCTCTGACTCTCGGGAATTATTTTCAGCAACCACAGAATTTTGAGGGTCTACTTGGTCACCATCTTTGATGTTCGACGAATTATTAGATTTTAATGAACTGGAGCAGCTACTGCTCGTGCTGGACGAAGTCATTGCAATAAAATGAATATTGCTGTCCTCATCGGAGACGTCAATATCACTTTGATCGCTTCCGTCGTACACCGGTATTTTCTTGTTTTGTCGTGCTCGGAATTGGTTTATCAAAAGCGGACAATATTCCTCAGATGAGTCTTCATCACTTAATGACATTTTGAATCAAGCTTCTGTCATGTTAAGTATCATAGAAGGACGGATGTTTTCTTTGTTTCTTTATTCTACCATACTGACTAAAAACCGTCAACGTTTCATTGCTTTCCTGATTATTTTTATGGCGTAGGAAAGGAAACGAGCAGACGGGTCACCTGATGGTAAGTAACTACCACCGCACATGAGCACCTACACCTCAAGAGTCATAAGTGCGATGCCGCCCCTTTAAGTCCTCCCCCAGAATTAGGGGAAGGATTGTTTTGGGCTCCGGTAACCTCTCATGCTGTGAAAAGCAACGAAATAATTGTATAACGCCGGTTTCCTATGAGACTGCGGTATCATAGGAAACCGGCGTTATACAAGCATGGCGGGAAAGCATGGCTCTCCCAAGTAACATAAGAGAACACGTAATAGAAAATATGTATTTCTGAAACATATAGGGTCCAATTGACTTAAAAAGCCCTAAACAATTAGTGAAATACCGCACCGCACTCACGATAGGTACTTACTAAGTATGTACTTAACACCTATTATGAGCGCGTCAATAGACTAATTGTTTAAAAAAACGTATTTGGTTAATTATGTCTTTTTACGCAATATTAATGGTTTTACTCATATTTCTTTAATAGCGATTATTGAATTAACGCTATTAAAATAAAAACTTGTAATTAAAAAATCATGTAGATGCTAATATTTGCTTTCATACATTTTCGAATAACAGTCGAAATTGAAAATATTTAAACTCAATTTTTCCTCATATGCAAAATGGGAGATGTGCCCTTTTTTATAATGACACAAACTCTACAGCCATTTTATTGAGATGAAGTCTAATCGCCAGTAGCGTAAAAAAATATATATTATTAATTTGGATTTAAAATTACTAAAAAAAATATTTGACTACTTAACATTTGGATGAGGGTCATTACCTAAAAAATGAATTTTGACACGAAATCCAAAACGTAACTTTGCATTTTCTTTTTACATTTTAAAACGTGTTTAATTGCCTGCAATGATCAGAGCTAAATAAAATAAAATTCTTTTATTTCGGGTATATCAATCACAACCTATATTATGTCGCAACTCAATACGCATTAATTTATTATTTTACCATTCTAATAAATTAAATTACAATTTACCATATTTTAATTTATGTTTATTTTCAGGTAACAGATCAATATATTAACTTGACAACAAGAAGCAAAAGCGATGCCTTAGTGGGTTCGATTCCCGGACAAGGCAAAATTTAAAGGTTTTTTCTGAGAGGAAAAATAGCCTAAGTTACTCCTTATATAGACAACTACCTAGTAGTAAAATATTATCAAAATCAGTCCAGCCGTTTAGAAGATTAACCGAACAAACAGACAGACAGACAAAAAAAAAACTTGTTTTTAGGCATAGGTATCGTGCAAATAACCATGTGAGCATGAAAAAAACTTTTTATTTTGACATTACAGACACTTCAATTTTATTTATTTGTATATATATGTCAAGTTAAATAAAAATTACTTACAACCGTCATGGCTCTCATTTCAGAACTGCACTGATTCTACTCAAAAAGTTCAAATTTAAAAATACCCGACACGTCCGCGACGCTTGCAATACTGATTGCAACTAATGATATGGTTATGATTTGGTGAAGTTCACTCGTTAAACAAAAGGGGTGTAAATCTAGATGGGTTAAGACCCCTTTTGTTTCATTGGTCGGTCGGTTTTGAGATAAGGAATTGGATGGTGTCCATAACACAAAAATTGAGATTTTTAGTTCATTGGATTTAAGTAATATTTTATTATTGTTATTATTTATTGTTTTATAGATTGCAATAATTACAAAAAATTAAATATCAAATCAGCACAATCAAATAGCAAACGAAATACATTTATAAATATGTATTTTCAAGAATGATATCTTGATTGATATGTGTAACTGTAGTCAATTCGAGTTAAAAAAATAGCGACGCATTGATCAAGCCCCACACCTACTAATAATAATTTCTCTAATATTTATAGAAATTATTATTCGTAGCCTCGCACCCTGACTTATCAGGTTCCAAGCTTGCGGCGGGCAGTGCTTGATCGAAGCGTCACTATTTTCTTAACGCGAATGGCTTATAATTATATTACTTGATTTAGATGAGGTTTTGATTTAAAAGTTATCTACATTTCTGAAAAAAAAACGCTATTGACAAATCGGTCAGGTATATCATAAAAATAAGGAATACTTTACCTGTGGACCCTCCATCTCAGCATTACTGTTGATGCTGAAGAGAAATGTAGCCTCGCCCGATTGCCCATTGCCACTGGCAGGTGCAGGAATTGAAATTTTCTGAAATAAACGTTAGTATTCATATTAATGATTGGACATTGAATATCAGTCCCTATATTCAACACTCCTCCTCATAGGACTAATATTAAAAAAAAACATTTTACTTAAACGACCGATAAAAGCTGTCAAAATTACGAAGTATACGGAATTGGTTGTGTAATTTGTGTATTAAATAGGAGTCAAAATGATGAAACTACTTCATATACATAATTTATGTATTTTCTTAATATCTACCAAGTGTTTCCTCACGATTTGGAAAAAATTTGGAGTCATTACACCAACATGTTACATTTGAACTTATAGTAGAACAACACTATAAGTTCAGTGTGAACAACACCTAAGTACAGGAAACAGATTCGGTGCAGATATAATAGCGTTAAACTGGTCTTTAGTTATAGAATAAATGTTGTACGAAAATAAGGTATTCAGACTATACACGGCCAAACATGTCCATCAAAAGTATTAACACATACAAACAGTATCAATTGACTGTGCACGTGGCATTTTTATGTGAGATTTTACTAACATTTAAATATAAATACACTGCCGTCCAAAACTTGGAGACCACTAGTGAAACAAAGATCTTAAGAATGATTTCTTAGATCTTACACAGGTCTTATCTTGAAAGGATCTTAACAGGTAATAAAAAATAATCCGCACTCCTGCATATTCTATTATAATTAAAGAATGTCTAAAAAGGCATTGTTCTGTATATTTCTATGAATGGGTGCAAAAAAAATGTGTACTGTTGTAAACATGTTGAACGAGAGCTAAGGTAGTCATTGTTATATTTTATGACCTGCCAATAGATATTTATTTTTGCTTATGTTTTACACTGAACGTACTGTAGGATCATTGCTGTTTCCTAAACATGTGTATTTCTTTTAAGTATGAATTGTGTTTCTATCTTGGCTTTCCATTACGAAATCGTGTTCATGACAACAAGGAACCTGACAATATCAAAAGCTCCACGCTCAGGGAAGCCGAGAGCTAGAACTTCAAATACAAATCTCTTTATCGACGTTAATAGCAAGCGAAATAGACGCCTAACAGCGCCTGAAATCCGCGACGTAGTAAACAATTCTCTGTATCATTCGACTAAACTAAATTAACAATATTTCTCAGGCGACAATCAATAAACTGATTTCTTGTATGCCGCGACTGCTGAAAGCAGTTATAAGTAAGGGAGAGTTTCTTGTCTCTGAATCTAGGTATTTAAATTATTTAGTAATTTTTTGTATAGGTTGTTGATATAAACATTGTTGGGTTTTTCTATTAATGTTTTATTTTTATAGTTAAACTACTAAACAAATACTATAAAATCTTAAGTTTTAATTCATTTTCTTCCTTTACTTAAGGCGATCTCAATTTTTTGGCCGGCAGTGTATGTAATACAATTCGGTTTAATACTTCAGTATAAACAATTGTACTAACAAAACGATCCTTGAATTTTTAAAACAAATACATAATATTATTTTGGTATACGTCATTCGGATGACCGATCAACTTGATAAATGAGCAAAATATACCTTTTTATCAAGTATATACCAACTTGGCGCTCCAAGAATGTTGTTGAATATGTTTTTTTAATTTTCCTATTTCATAATTCTCAACAAACATTTTTTTCCTTTAAAAAATATTAAACTGAAATTCTAAACTTTTCTTTTGTGACTTAATCCGTACGTACATTTTGCAATTAATGACAACAAACCTAGAACGTCACATACAATGATGATACAATGGTACGTGAATTTTCAATATAATCTGTTTTATCGCGTGTCTAAAATGTTATGTGTTTCGTCGCGAGAAATCTGGCACGATATCTTGTGTGAATCACATTATATAAAATGGCTAAATGACTTGTTTGAGTAAATATAACGCATGGTGAGATACCTCAAAAATATACTCTAATTTGTCATAATAACATTAATTTGTCCACCTGTTGCACCATTACAAATCGGAATAATAATAATCACATGAGAAATCTACGGCAGTTCTTGTTATATTTCCAAATATGGTTGACCTGTGCCCGTACGCCTAATGCAATTGCAACAATTTATATAGGTACATATGCAGTTACGTATATAATACAGCTCACGAAGTAAGTAATGACTTTCATCGTCTGGTATGGCAACGTCGCGGCGTCGCGGCTCCACAGCGGATAAGCACCTATCACATCGTTTCACTTTTAGTTGTTAAGTTAATTTAATAAACAATAATTGAAGCGAGTTTCAACTCAGTTTATGGTTCAAACATAGCTCAATTTTTCGAAACCTTTTATATGGGTAGCTAAAAAGTTCTTCGTAATTCGATTCTAAGTGCCAAGAAATGTGATTCATCACGATTTTGTGCAATTCTTTCACAGATGTATAAAACAGTTTTGAAATATGCGTCGAAGAAAACATTTTACAGATGTTAATGTTGTCAGTATGTATTGTGGATCATTTTTCTTGGACTCAGGAGTAACTCACTTGATAGCACCGCACCTACATGTGTGCCCGCGAGCTACTTTAAGGTCGCGGTTGACAATGTGTGCCAACACCACAATGCCAGGCAGTTAACCTATTAATGAGTACGCCGCGAAGCCGCTACCGATGGAGCAATAACCCGTCCAGTCCCATCACTGACGTGTTGACAACAGAATCCTTCTCGAATTTTCTCTGAATTAATTTTGGTTCATTTAGCTTTCATAGTAGTATTTCCTACCGAAGTAATAAGAAGAAAAAGTAATAAGATATAATAAGTCTAAATAGAACGTGAAAAGAATGATAACCCTGCATTTATTTGAATATGAACACTGAATGAATATATTATTATGTAGAGCCACATTTATTTTATTACATAATCATATTTTTCGTTAGTTAATGTTAAATATTGACGAGGTGTTCTACAAAAACTAAGTCAATAATGCATAAAGCGACGTCCATCACGCATTTCAAGTCTGATAAATGCAAGGCAAAGGCATAGAACAGAATATAGAATTATGGAGCTAATGAGGAAAAAACCCGCTACGAACGAGCAGCAGACAGAGCGGGGAGTGCGGGGTGTGGCTTTCTCTACGCCACTGCCGACCGATATAAAGAGCGCCTCGCGATGGAACACTTCGGCATTCGGTCAACAGCCGTCTCGCCCGCATCGTGTGTAGCTTCCATGGCTAACTCTATTGTTTTGCTTTGTTTTATTGACCGATTTTTGTGATTGTCACTAATACAATAACATATGAATAGGTAGCTATTTGTTTATAGGTAAGTAGTCTAACCATCTGCAAAATGTATCATGTCAAGGTCGCTGTTTTCATTGTGTCTTCTCATGAAGGTCGGGCAATATCGTTTAAACCGGAAAATAGGTGGTACACTAGGAAATCCGCCGTACGTTTTTCAAGGCATTATTGTTATACCAGCTGGTCGATCAATTTCTAGGTACCTCACCAGATTTTACATGACGACTATGATACTAAATCTTTCAGTTACGTCATCTCAAATGCGTAAATTCTGTATTCACTTGGATTCTTTTAATTTTTCAATTTTGGCAAGAGTTTTCTTTATTGTTTATTGCCTGTCGTGCGTAACGACGGTGTCTTTGTTGGTTACCTAATTTCTCAACAAGCAGCGAGCGGTAAACAGACTTGCGAAGTGAGAGGCCGACGCAACCGGTTCGTTCGGCTCGCTCGACCGATAGATACACAACTACGTAGTAGATAGCGTACTCGGCTACGGATTGGTTTATTATGTTCACGATTAAAACAAGAACAAACACTAATACGTATCGTAATCAAAGATTCGTTTCTAGGTAAATGCCCGCGGTACTTTGTAAATTACAAAACAGATTATATTTCCAAGGGACAAACCCGGACGCAAAACCAACGGTCGTGTGCCTCAGCCTCGAGTTAACGTGTTGTATCTTGTTGACGTAACATAGCGGAGGTGGTACAAACCACACGATGTAAATTCAACTCTAAACGTAAAGACTTTTGGAACAGTATTGTTCGAATCGATAATATACGTACGTCAGTAGTGTACAATAATAAATGGTTCACTTCAACACAAATCGTAGCGGGAAATCCACGCGACTGGCTTGTGATCGCCACCATGTTAATTGCTTACGAACTTGTTATTTTCTTTATTTGTTAAGATAATATGAAAACGAGTATTTGCAAATATTATAACAAACTTTTGTACAATCCAACAAAAGGAAATCACTGCACTTACTTGACTATTGTGACTTTGGAAATAGTACTATTAACTATATCATTAGCCCAATTCTTAAATGTTGTCGTCACATCCATAATACACAGATTTCAAAAGAAGTAGTTCTGTATTTTAAGCAGAAAGCAAAGTTATTATCTGCTTGTCTATTTGTTATTCAATTCATCCTTAAAGTTGAAAACCATAGAAAAAAACAATGATAGACTACCTTTAAATGAAAATATTTATGTTAATCCAATTTAATTTTAAAGCCAGTGGTTAAAACAATAAATAATTCTGCAATAATTTTTATTAAATGAAGTAAATGTTGGATTCAAGGATTCATTCTTACAAAACAGTGTTTGCAATAAAAACCCCACAAATTTAACAAAAGATACAGTTACAAGTTAGTGTGTCAATTCTTCTGTAAAATAAACGCAATCGTGAGAAGTAGTTGGACTAGCTCTAAATTAACAAAGGAATGTTAATGTTCATGAAGCTGACATATTGATAAACAATGTCCACTTGAATATAAGGTTTTCCATATAATGTTACAACAAGACTGGCCTTGGCGAGAGGCAACCTTAAATCAACAATATGGAGAGTTAAGAATTTGGCAATGCGTCCGCGGAAGAAATTGTTCTAACACAATTTACTAACGGTAATAGTCACTTTCATCGCAGCAGACACATTTAAAGGCGAAGTGAGTGGCCAGTTATTCGTGAGGTTTCTACGATACTATTTGCATATTCACCGACTTTCTAATGAACGATGCGGTCGCTCTTGTCGCAATCGTCGGCAGTGGTGAGGTAACAC